CCCCCCGATGTCGGTTGGCGCTAGGCGCATGTCCTTATCTATCGAACCGTGTGCGAGATGCATACTGGCGTGCAGCGAACCCCTCCCATATCCATCGTGCTGATCTGGGTGGGTGACATTCTGGCTGGTACCTCGGTAAAAGACTGTGGTAGGCAGGCTGGCAGGCTGCCGTGGTTTCGATTTGGAGCTGCAAGGCTGCGATCTAGGCTGCTGATTTGAGAGAGAGCAATGGTCTTGCTCTCCCAGCGTAGCGAAACGTCTGCAATTGCTGTCGTGTCGCGAATGTGAGGACACACCGGCCCTTGAACATTCACGCAAGGTTCATCGCAGCATGGCACCCTGGCCTTCTTTTCCATTTCCTTAGCGTGACGATTCTGGCGATGGCCCGGTGCAAGGTGCAACAGGGTTGGTCCGAGATAAGGACACCTTTTGCGGCCTCTGATTGGCCAGTCGCACCTTGGTTGCCTGACAAGTCTGGGGCGGAGGCGGCGCCGATATAGGTTGGTCTTATCAGTTGCCAATGCGGCATCCCATTTCCTCTCCTCGCACTCTTTGTTTTGTGTGCCCTGGCTGCTCGGTAGTAGGGAAAAACGAGAAACAACGTAGCATGAGTCGGAGCACCAAGAGAAAAAGTCGCGCAACCGGCGGCGGGGGGCTTGTTGTTGGAAATTAGTTGTCGCTCGACAGGCAGCAGCTGTCGGGCCTTTTTGGCAGTCTCCGCTTCAGCTGTTATGAATAATTATAATTATCAAGGGATTATAGTCTTTCCACGCCATTTTCTTTTTCGTCCTTGATGAAGCAAATGCTTGGGATGATATGATGACAACTTGCTGTGGTTATCCGTCCCCCAGACCATGTCAAGCTGCAACCATGCGCTCGCAAGCTTTTTTTCTGCCTCCCTGCCCGCCCACCTGGCGCCGATTTTGGTGCGGACGACCGACCGGGTTCCCTTGCAGCAGGTTGAAAATAGCAGGGTGCTGATTGGCAGGACCCGCGGCCCATGACGTACCGGACCAGATTGAAGATGAGATTTGCTGTAACCAAGCCCCGTTCGCTCCAGGGCCCTTGTGGGGTAGGGCCATGCCATTGGGGCCTTGCCGTGCTGTAGTTGTCGTATGGCCACAGCGAAATGATGGACAGACAAGTTGCCGGGAGAATGAGGCAAAAGATGTCATACTGCATGCATGACTGCGTCGCCGATGAGCCCCGAGGTCAGGTAAGTGGGTGGAGGGAGGGAGGTAGAGAAGAGGTATCCGCCTGCTTCCGAGGAGGACGGACGAACAAAGGAGGACGGTCAAGCTGCAGGTCGCAGAGGAGGCGCCACCGCTCTATTTATTGGAATTCTTGTCGTGGCATGCATCCTTCATGGGATGCTGATCGTAAAGTAAAGCCGGTCTGCACGCTGCTTCAGAAGAGGCTGCAGGGACGGGTCGCAAAGGCAGCCTGTTGACGTATTCCCCCAGCGAAAATGTGTCGGAGCTGTGTTGCGCCACCATGGATTTCCGAGCACAATGGGATGGGGGTTACGCGCCAAGTTTACCCCCCCTGGTCAATGGGCAGCTTCCAGGAAGTCTAGAGACACGGCAGCTGCTTCGTTGGCGAGATGGCGATTAGTGACGTGCGTGGTGCTTGATGGGGGATCTACTGGTAGTCTGGAGAGTGAGCGTGCCGGAGTTTGCGGTATGGGATTCCGAGCAGACAGGTACATGGGTAGACGTGGTGATGAGTTGTATTGTGGCGAGAGAGACTCGGTCGAGGGCCGTTGCGCTCCAGTGAGAGACGAGTTGGAAACAAGGGCCGTTTGAAACAGCCTCTCCGGACATCGGAGGAACTACCATGCTGCAAAGAAGCAGAAGCACGCAGGCAATGCGGCAACAGGTCGTGCGTGTGGTGGGTTTTATTGCCTTTTGCCAAAGTCGCCTCACTTTGACCCTTGTCTTGGCTGACCCGGGCAGGCAGGCATTGAGCTGCGCAGGACAAGCCAAAGAAAGACACAGGGAGCCGGGGTTAATAAACTGGCTGACATGTGCCTTCTCCTTTCTGCCAGCAACAAGGGCTAATAAAAGAGCGGAGCTGGAGATGTGTCCGGGCCGGCTGCGAGATGGCTTGCTTGAAAGAGTTGGCCAGTGGCAGCAACTAACTTGCTAGGCTTGAAGAAGTCAGCCATTGAGAGCAAGGACTCTTCGCCCGCAGTAGTCTAGATATTCCCTCTCCCCCACCAATGCGGCGTGTCGCAGATAAGCATCCTGCCCACCCCTGCCGGCTATCCTTGGGGTCCGACAGACAGCACAAGGACAAACCACGACACCACACACCCGCCCGGCCGCCCGCCTTTTTTTGCGTCGTCTCATGCTAAATAACTAGTAGCGTCGCCCTTGTTGCCGAGCGAGTAAGAGGCTGCCCATTAGCAGCATGTTCTCTTGCTGGTGGAGTTTGCCCCCCCCGGAGACTTCTGGCGTGTGTGTTTAGCCGGCGCAGTACTAACTCTACTACTATTCCATGTGCCTGCGCAGGGCTAGCCTCGACACAGACAAGAGTTGGTGGCGTTCTGGCGAAGTTAACTAACTAAACTGTTTTTCCCTGGGTGGTGTTTTGGGGATGCCGTAGAGACATGTAACTATTGGAGAAAGAAGGCGAGCGACTCCGGAGTCGCCCATCCATCCATCCCATCCCATCCCTAAGTTAACCGTAGGCCCTGTCCCGTATTAATACAGAACCATCTTCCCACCTCCCCCCTCAATCTTTCTTTTTACCCTTTTCTCGTCATCTCTTGCTTTTTACCTTGTCTCTCTCCCTGGCTGGAAACCGCCCCCAATTGATTCCTCTGCAGCTTGTAGCGCAGATTGATTGCATAGCGTTTATTGAGATCTACGACGACACCTCCGGATATACAATGTGAGTGTTGCTGTTTCTTTTTTTTTTTTTTTTTTTTTTGCCGCCCTCTTCATCTTGTCATATCCTTGGGAAATATTCCCGAGGTTGTCGACGCAATTGGGTCGCACACGGACTGGTCGCACAAGAACCGGTCGTCTCAAAAACAGGCAATGACGTCGAGCATGGCCGTGACCGAGTCCCGAAATGCAGCGACCGGGGTCCGTCCCGGCCTGTGTGCTACTGATCTTATCAAAGGCGCAAAAAAAAAGGACAAAGTCGTCACTATGCTCGAATTTGCCGCGAGAAAACAAGTCTGCATACAGTACAGAATACCCGAGATTTTTTCCCCTTTTCATCAGCGACGACAAGTGTTGTTCCTCTTTGACGCAAAGGGCACGGCAGCGACTGCATTGGTCGGCGGGGAAGCCCGGAAGACGCCGCATTCGCGCAAGACTCGAGGCAGGCCTAGCCGAAAAGACAGCCGACAGAATCTGGGTTGTGAAATGTGACAGAAAAAGAACCAAGCAAGCAGGAAGAAGACGGCAATTATTTCGGATTTTTGTCATGTCTCAGACCATGGTCCCTGTGAATCCGGGGGCTTCCAGGCGACCGCAAGACCACGACAATGAGCCTCGGTGGGGAGTTGGTCGGTTTCAGCGCTCACATCCGCTGGAAATGACAGCAGGAATAGTCCTGGACATCCTGGCCTTCAGCGGGGTGCTGGTTGCTGTTTTTACCCGCAATCGTCAATTGCATGGGGAAAGCAGAGACCAACCAGAAGCCTCTCAAAATCAGCACCACAAAGGGGGAAAGAAGATCATTCCATCCAAAAAAAAAAAAAACAAAAAAAAAAAAAAAAAATGATGGTCCCCTACTGCAGCCTACTGCAGACGAAAAAAGATTCCGGTTCCCCCACTATAACCTCGGCCCTGATCCGCTACCGGCGAACCCGCTGCCAGCTGCCAGCTGCCCTGTCTGCTTGCTGTCCTGTCCTGGCTTCTCCGCAAGAGCCTCACTCAACTGGGGCCACCACTCTTTCAGTGGTCTTACAGTGTGCTGAGTGCTGTACCTCCAGCCTCTCAAGTGAGCTTGGCTGGCTGGTCTGTTCGCGGCTGCTTTTGGCTTCAACCCTTGGAACTCTATCTGCTCTGGAAGTCTTCCATTTTACTGGCCTCTTGTTTTACTCGTCTCGTTTTCTTCTTACCTTGTCAAAAACTAACCTCTCCTGCCCAGATACCATCGCAGCCTCTCCAGCTGCCAACTCACTTCACAACGGCCCAAGCAACCTCTTATACGCTCCTCACCATCGGAGCGCTCCTGACCAACAACACCCGACTCACCCAGTCCACTCTGCGAAACATCGCCTAGCATGGGCCTGCTGGACGACTTCGACGACCGACAAACCCACATTGACGCCGAACAGGAACAATACCACCCGTTTGAGTACCAGACCGAGAACAATGGCTCGTGGGCTGGTGCCTTGCCGGTGAAGCAGGGTCTCTATGACCCGTCCTTGGAAAAGGATGCCTGCGGAGTAGGCTTTGCCTGGTAGGATTCGGCTTGTCTCTACAATCAAGTGTTTCTACATGCTAACATTTCATAGCCACATCAAGGGCAAGGCTAGCCACAAGATTGTTAGTGATGGTAAGCAACTCTTGCAACTCACCTTTCACTACCCACAACCCACAACCCACAACACACAACACACCAACACACACCACGAGTCCATGACTGACAACCACAGCACGCAACTTGCTCTGCAACATGACCCATCGAGGAGCCGTCGGCTCCGACGCCAGAGACGGCGACGGTGCCGGCGTCATGACCTCGATCCCCCACCGGTTCTTCATCAAGAACTTTGAAAAGGAGGAGAACATCAAGCTGCCGCCCCTGGGTCAGTACGCCGTCGGCAACCTCTTCTTCAAGCCCGACGAGGAGACCTTTGGCGAGTCCAAGCGGCAGCTGGAAGACGTTGCCGAGTCCCTGGGCCTGCGCGTCCTCGGCTGGCGCCGCCCGCCCGTCGACTCGACCCTGCTCGGCCCGGCCGCCCGCTCGCGCGAGCCCATCATCGCCCAGCCCTTCGTCGTCCTCGCCTCCGCCTACGGAACCGGCGTCGAGCCCGAGAACACGGACCCGGCCGCCTTTGACGAGCGCCTCTTCGAGCGGCAGCTCTTCGTCCTCCGCAAGCGCGCCACGCACGCCATCGGCCTGCACAACTGGTTCTACATCTCCTCGCTGTCCAGCAAGAACATCGTCTACAAGGGCCAGCTGGCGCCCGTCCAGGTCTACGCCTACTACCACGATCTCGTCAACGCCGACTACGAGGCGCACTTTGCGCTCGTCCACTCGCGCTTCTCGACCAACACCTTTCCCTCGTGGGACCGCGCGCAGCCGCTGCGCTGGGCGGCGCACAACGGCGAGATCAACACGCTGCGCGGCAACAAGAACTGGATGCGCGCGCGCGAGGGCGTCATGCGGTCCGACGTCTTCCGCGACGAGCTGGAGCAGCTGTACCCGGTCGTCGAGGACGGCGGGTCCGACTCGGCCGCGTTCGACAACGTGCTCGAGCTGCTGACCATCAACGGCGTGCTGTCGCTGCCCGAGGCGGTCATGCTCATGGTGCCCGAGGCCTGGCAGGGCAACGAGCACATGGACCCTAAGAAGGCCGCCTTCTACGAGTGGGCGGCCTGCCAGATGGAGCCGTGGGACGGGCCGGCGCTGTTTACCTTTGCCGACGGCCGCTACTGCGGTGCGAACCTGGATCGTAATGGTCTTCGTCCGTGCCGATTCTACGTCATGGACGATGACCGCATCATCTGCGCGTCCGAGGTCGGCACCATCCCCGTGGAGCCCGAGTCGGTGGTGCAAAAGGGCCGTCTGCAGCCGGGCCGCATGCTGCTGGTCGACACCCACGCTGGCCGCATCATCGACGACAAGGAGCTCAAGGAGGCCGTGGCCAGCCGCCACGACTTCCGCGCCTGGCTGGACCGCGAGCTGGTGACCATGCCCAAGGTGCTCGAGGAGCTGGAGCCGACGGCGGACCTGGCGGCCAAGCCGGACACAACCCCGCTGCAGGAGGACCCGATGCTGCTCTCCTTTGGTTACACCCATGAGCAGGTCTCGCTGCTGCTGGCGCCCATGGCGGCCGACGAGAAGGAAGCCCTGGGATCCATGGGCAACGACGCGCCGCTGGCTTGTCTCACGCAGGCGCCGCGTCTGCTGTACGACTACTTCCGACAGCTGTTCGCCCAGGTGACCAACCCGCCCATCGACCCTATCCGCGAGTCCATCGTCATGTCGCTCGAGTGCTACGTCGGCCCGCAGGGCAACCTTCTCGAGATGGACGCCTCGCAGTGCGGCCGGCTGCTGCTGCCGAGCCCGATCCTGTCCATCCCCGAGTTCAACGCGCTCAACCGGCTGTCCACCCTCCGCCCGGAGTGGACCGTCCGCACCATCGACCTGACCTTCCCCAAGGCCGAGGGCGTCGCGGGCTACCTCCGCCACCTGGACGAGATCTGCGCCGAGGCCACGGCGGCCATCGAGGCGCGCGACCGCATCATCGTGCTCTCGGACCGGGCCACCTCGGCGGACCGCGTGCCCGTGTCGGCGCTGCTCGCGTCCGGCATGGTGCACCACCACCTGGTCGGCAACAAGTGGCGGTCCATGGCGGCGCTGGTGGTCGAGACGGCCGAGGCGCGCGAGGTGCACCACATGTGCGTGCTGCTCGGCTACGGCGCCGACGCGGTCAACCCGTACCTGGCCATGGAGTGCATCCTCAAGCTCAACCGCGAGGGCCTCATCAAGAAGACGCTGACGGACGAGGCGCTGATCCGCAACTACAAGCACTCCTGCGACGGCGGCATCCTCAAGGTCATGAGCAAGATGGGCATCTCGACGCTCGCCTCGTACAAGGGCGCGCAGATCTTCGAGGCGCTCGGGCTGGACGAGGCCGTCGTCGAGCGCGGCTTCCGCGGCACCGCCTCCCGCATCCAGGGTCTTACTCTCGAGCTGCTCGCCGAGGACGCCTTCCGCTTCCACGAGCGCGGCTTCCCCTCGCGCCGCACCGTCGACGTCACGGCGCTGCCCGAGTCCGGCGAGTACCACTGGCGCGACGGCGGCGAGGCCCACGTCAACGACCCGACCTCCATCGCCAACATCCAGGACGCCGTCCGCACCAAGAACGACAAGTCCTACGAGGCCTACTCGCGCTCCGAGTACGAGCAGATCAAGAACTGCACCCTGCGCGGCCTGCTCGACTTCAAGTTTGACGAGCGCAGCCCGGTGCCCATCGACCAGGTCGAGCCCTGGACGGATATCGTGCGTCGATTCTGCACGGGTGCCATGTCCTACGGGTCCATCTCCATGGAGTCGCACTCGACGCTGGCCGTGGCCATGAACCGCCTCGGCGGCAAGTCCAACACGGGCGAGGGCGGCGAGGACCCGGAGCGCTCCCAGCGCATGCCCAACGGCGACACCATGCGCTCCGCCATCAAGCAGGTCGCATCCGGTCGCTTCGGCGTCACCTCGGCGTACCTGGCCGACTCGGACGAGCTGCAGATCAAGATGGCCCAGGGCGCCAAGCCCGGCGAGGGCGGCGAGCTTCCCGGTCACAAGGTGTCCAAGAGCATCGCCCGCACCCGGCACTCGACCCCCGGCGTCGGCCTCATCTCCCCGCCGCCGCACCACGACATCTACTCCATCGAGGACCTGAAGCAGCTCATCTACGACCTCAAGTGCTCCAGCCCGCGCTCGCGCGTCTCCGTCAAGCTCGTCTCCGAGGTCGGCGTCGGCATCGTCGCCTCGGGCGTCGCCAAGGCCAAGGCCGACCACATCCTCATCTCCGGCCACGACGGCGGCACCGGCGCCTCCCGCTGGACCGGCATCAAGTACGCCGGCCTGCCCTGGGAGCTGGGCCTCGCCGAGACGCACCAGACGCTCGTCCTCAACGACCTCCGCGGCCGCGTCGTCGTCCAGACCGACGGCCAGCTGCGCACCGGCCGCGACATCGCCATCGCCTGCCTCCTCGGCGCCGAGGAGTGGGGGTTCGCCACGGCGCCGCTGATCGCCATGGGCTGCGTCTTCATGCGCAAGTGCCACCTCAACACGTGCCCCGTCGGCATCGCCACGCAGGACCCGGAGCTCCGCGCCAAGTTCAAGGGCACGCCGGAGCACGTCATCAACTTCTTCTACTACCTGGCCAACGAGCTGCGCGCCATCATGGCCCAGCTGGGCTTCCGCACCATCAACGAGATGGTCGGCCACGTCGAGGTGCTCAAGATGCGCGACGACCTGCGCACGAACAAGACGGCCAACATTGACCTCTCCCTGCTGCTGACGCCGGCGCATCAGCTGCGGCCGGGCGTGGCCACGTTCAACGTGCGCAAGCAGGATCATAAGCTCTACGTGCGCCTGGACAACAAGCTCATCTCCGAGGCCGAGCTCACCCTCGACAAGGGCCTGCCCTCGCGCATCGAGTGCGACATTGTCAACACCGACCGCGCCATGGGCACGTCGCTGTCCTACCAGATCTCCAAGCGCTACGGCGAGGCCGGCCTGCCCATGGACACGGTCCACGTCAACATCAAGGGCTCGGCCGGTCAGTCGTTCGGTGCCTTCCTCGCTCCTGGCGTCACCCTGGAGCTCGAGGGCGACGCCAACGACTACGTCGGCAAGGGCCTGTCCGGCGGCCGGCTGATCATCTACCCGCCGCGCTCCGCCCAATTCAAGGCCGAGGAGAACATCCTCATCGGCAACGTGTGCCTGTATGGCGCCACCGCCGGCACCTGCTTCTTCCGGGGCGTCGCCGCCGAGCGCTTCGCCGTGCGCAACTCGGGCGCCACCGCCGTCGTCGAGGGCGTCGGCGACCACTGCTGCGAGTACATGACCGGCGGCCGCGTGCTCATCCTCGGCAGCACCGGGCGCAACTTCGCCGCGGGCATGTCCGGCGGCATCGCCTACGTGCTCGACAAGAACCGCGACTTCATGGGCAAGCTCAACACGGAGATGGTCGAGGCCGGGCCGCTCGAGGACCCGACGGAGATTGCGTACGTGCGCGGCCTCGTCGAGGACCACCACCACTACACCGGCTCCGAGCTCGCGGCGCGCATCCTGGTCGACTTCAACCGCGCCCTGCCGCGCTTCGTCAAGGTGCTGCCCGTCGACTACAAGCGTGTCCTGGAAGAGGAGGCGGCCAAGGCCAAGGCGGCCAAGAGCGCCGAGTACGACCTCCCCGCCGTCGCCGGCGTCCCCGCGCACAGCCATCCCAAGAAGGAGGGCGAGAAGGCGGCCAAGCTGCAGGACCTCGAGGAGGCCGTCGGCGACAGCGCCGTCGAGAAGAAGCGCGCGCTGGTGCTGGACAAGACGCGCGGCTTCATGAAGTACGCGCGGCGCTCCGAGAAGTACCGGGCCGCCTCGGCGCGCACCAAGGACTGGGCCGAGATCAGCTCGCGCCTCAACGAGGACGAGCTCAAGTACCAGTCGGCGCGGTGCATGGACTGCGGCGTGCCCTTCTGCCAGTCCGAGACGGGCTGCCCCATCTCCAACATCATCCCCAAGTGGAACGAGCTCGTCTTCCAGAACCAGTGGCGCGACGCCCTCACCCGCCTGCTCATGACCAACAACTTCCCCGAGTTCACCGGTCGCGTGTGTCCGGCGCCGTGCGAGGGCGCCTGCGTGCTGGGCATCAACGAGGATCCGGTGGGCATCAAGTCGATCGAGTGCGCCATCATCGATCGCGGGTTCGAGATGGGCTGGATGGTGCCGCGCGTGCCGGAAGTGCGCACGGGGAAGAAGGTGGCGATCATCGGGTCCGGCCCGGCTGGTCTTGCCGCGGCGGACCAGCTCAACCGCGCGGGACACCTGGTCACCGTGTACGAGCGCGCGGACCGCCTCGGCGGCTTGCTCATGTACGGCATCCCCAACATGAAGCTCGACAAGCGCATCGTCAAGCGCCGCACCGACTTCATGGCCGCCGAGGGCATCGTCTTCAAGACCGGCGTCGCCGTCGGCGAAGACGGCCAGCCTAGCCTCGCCTCCCTCCGCGCGGACAACGACGCCGTCATCATCGCCACCGGCGCCACCGTCGCGCGCGACCTGCCCATCAAGGGCCGCGAGCTCGCCGGCATCCACTACGCCATGGAGTTCCTCCACCGCAACACCAAGTCGCTGCTCGACTCGGAACTGGCCGACGGCAGCTACATCTCCGCCAAGGGCAAGCACGTCGTCGTCATCGGCGGCGGCGACACGGGCAACGACTGCATCGGCACCTCCGTCCGGCACGGCGCCGCCTCCGTCACCAACTTTGAGCTGCTCCCGCAGCCCCCCGACGAGCGCGCGCGCGACAACCCCTGGCCGCAGTGGCCGCGCGTCTACCGCGTCGACTACGGGCACGCCGAGGTGCGGCAGCACACCGGCCGCGACCCGCGCGAGTACTGCATCATGTCCGAGGAGTTCGCCTCCGACGGTAGCGGGAACGTCAAGGGCATCAACACCATCCGGGTGGAGTGGACCAAGAACCCGAGCGGCGGCTGGGACATGAAGAAGGTCGAGGGCTCGCAGCAGTTCTTCCCGGCGGACCTGGTGCTGCTGGCGATGGGCTTCCTGGGCCCGGAGGCGAGGGTGCTCGGCGAGGAGGTGGAAAAGGACGCGCGGAAGAACGTCAAGACGGCGCCGGGCAAGTACGGCACGAACCTGGAGGGCGTCTTCGCGGCGGGTGATGCGCGCAGGGGGCAGTCGTTGATCGTGTGGGGGATCAACGAGGGGAGAATGGCGGCGCGCGAGGTGGACTTGTTCCTGGAGAAGAACACCAACTTGCCGGTGACGGGCGGCCTGGTGAAGCGCAAGGCGACGGAGATTCTGGGTCGTGTTGGTACGGAGGTGGCTGCGTAGGTGATGTGTGTATATATGTATGTCACGGACAGGGGAACCGATCGATGAGAGGAAGAAAAACAGTCGGGGTTCGCTTGCTTGATACCCACGCAAAAGTTTACAAACAATTTCTTTGGTTATGAAGATTGCATTTGGATATACCAGTTTTATGTAGCACGAATTTAGGTGTGAACCTGAACGATTTTAGTCATGTTGACTGCGAGTTTACGCAACCTGAGGTGTGTCTGGCCGTGTCGTTGGCCAGACTCAGTACTTGGTGCCTTTTTGTGTGATGGCCGACTCCGTGCTTGGCGCCTCTTTGTATGTATGGGACTGGCAGTCATCTCTCAGCGAGTGTAATAAACAAAACAATCTTTAAATTCAAAACAACGAAGTTACATGATACGATTGTAAACTACTGCGGTGGCATGCAACCTGGTGGATAGTAATGTGTACCTGTGTAAGTGTATTATTGATGCGAGAGTGGTACGACACGTGAGCAGATGCAGCTTTTATAGGACGCCGACATACATGTAAAGAATAATATGGAAGTTGGACATTTTTATTCCATATATTAATATTGATTGATACGTTAGTCAAGGAGAATATCGGCGCTGAGTGAATTTGACTTTTGCCGCTTGCAGTCAGAATTCGAGCAAGGCAATTGGTAAGTTAATGGCAACTGCGGGGAGCTTCGGTGAGTCTTTCACTCTAGCGTGATATTTGCATGTGGGCTGGCCGAGGCCGAGGAACGAGATACTCATCGTCTGTATCGTCAGAGTAAAAATCAAAACAATTGAAAGATGGAAGCAATGATCGATTGTATTTTGATGCAGGTATCAATTTCTTCAATACACTCTCCCGTGCCTCTGCTTCTGAATTCGCCCGCTACGCCCACGTCCAGCGACAGCGCTGTTAGTGGCTGATTCGGGCGTTTTTAGTGACTGTTAGCGCGTCTCACGCTTAACCGTGATCGTCTTTACAGTGGCCCCAGGGCCCAAAGTGGCTGTATCGAGGCCGCTGTGGCGTCGATTTTGCAGGGATCTTATCCTCCCCCGAGTACGGCACGTGCTGCCTGTCGCTCCCTCATAGGCCAATGCCTGCTAACCTTCAGTCGACCACCCCACCGAGCTGGGATCCCTCTCTTCCTGGACTTTTAACCAACACAAGCTTCGAGGATATCCTCAACGCCTATCCGTATATACAGACCACCTGGTGGGGTTTGCCAGCCTGCGCATTTTTCTTCTCCATCGCTGCTCCGGTAGCCAGGCCCGGGCCAGCTCCTCGATTTTTTCTGCCTCGCCGTGCTCGTCTCAATTCCACTCGCTTTCGTCCCGAGGCCTCCATCAACACTCCCGCTTTCAGGCCGCCGCTCAAGCACCACAAGCTTGACTCCCTCCAGCTACATCATCAACGAGAGCTTCACTCCGAAACGGACCCGACCCTCGCGCCGGCCAGCCGCTCAATTGTCTGACTCAATTGATGAAATTCGCCCCTCGACCTCGCCCTAGCACCGATCAAACCCACCGCCATGCGCTTCGGCAAGACTCTCCGCGAGTCCATCAACGGGCCATGGAAGGACAAGTACATTGACTACAACAAGCTCAAAACCCTCCTCCGCGAGGACAAGTTTGATGACGACAACGAGGTCTGGACTGAGGACGACGAGAACCGCTTCTGCGAGGAAATCTTCAACGTCCAGCTGGAAAAGGTTGCCAAGTTCCAGGAACAACAGGTTTCCCTCCTCAAGGACCGCTCCGACGCAGCCTTTGCCGAGCTGAAGAAGCTCGCGCCGCCCGCACCTGCAGACGGCGCCGAGGCCCCGGCCGTCGACGATGCGGCCAAGGCTAGGTTCAAGGAGCTCGAGACGGAGCTCGACAGCATCATGAACGAGGTCAAGGAGCTCAAGCGCTACAGCTCCATCAACTATACCGGCTTCCTCAAGATCGTCAAGAAGCACGACCGCAAGCGTGGTAACCGCTACAAGGTCCGCCCCATGATGCAGCACAGCCTCGCCCAGCGCCCCTTCAACTCGGAGCAAGGCTACTCGGCCCTCCTCAACAAGCTTTCCATCATGTACTATGCCATCCGCCAACAGCTCGAGCACGACCCTACCCTGCCCATCGACCTCGAGACCCAGGGCGAGACTCTCAATGGCGAGCGCTACACAGCTCATAAATGTAAGTAATGGTGCAATGATCGCTCGGGTCTCTCGTTGCTGACACTCTGGCTCTGCAGTCTGGATTCACCCCGACAACCTCCTCGAGGTCCGCACTCTCATCCTCCGCCATCTCCCCTCTCTCATCTACAGCCAGCAAACGTCCAAGGACTTTGACGGCAGCGAATCTCCCACCGTCACCTCCCTCTACTTCGACAACAAGACGTTCGAGCTCTACAACAAGAAAGTCGATAGCAGCAAGGGCGGCGAGTCGCTTCGTTTGCGTTGGTACGGGCAGCTTAGCACCAAGCCTGACATCTTTGTCGAGCAAAAGGTCGCCGACAGCACTGGCGAGAGCCGCGAGTCCAAGTTCACCATCAAGGACAAGTACGTCACGCCCTTCCTTGCTGGCGAATACAGCATGGAAAAGACGGCGGCCAAGATGGAGCGTCAAGGCCAGTCCGCCGAGGCTGTTGCCGAGTACAAGAAGACGGTCGACAACATCCAAAGCTTCCAGCAGAAGCAGAAGCTGGCGCCGGTCCTGCGCGCCAACTACATGCGTACCGCTTTTCAGAAGCCCGCCGATGACCGCATCCGAATCTCCATCGATACCGACCTCGCCTTCATCCGCGAAGATACCCTTGATGCTGAGCGCCCCTGCCGCAATCCCGACGTCTGGCACCGCACCGACATTGACGACAGCAACATGACGTATCCCTTCCGCAACATCAACCAGAGCGAAGTCTCCAAGTTTCCCTATACTGTCCTGGAGATCAAGCTCCGCGAGGACGCAAACCGCAAGCGCCCCGCTTGGGTAGAGGACTTGCTCGCCTCCCACCTCATCCACGCGGTGCCGCGCTTCTCCAAGTTTGTGCACGGCGTGGCCTCCCTGTTCGAAGACCACGTCAATGCCCTGCCCTTCTGGCTCAGCGACCTGGAGACGGACATCCGCAAGGACCCGCAGCTTGCCTTCGAGGCCGAGGAGCAGCGCCGCGCCCAGCGTGCCGACGATGCCCTGGCCGTCGGCAGCCTCATCGGCACCCTCCCCTCCTCCTACAAGGCAGCCAAGAGCTCGTCTGTCGGCAAGTCATATCTCGCCGACCGCATGGCGGCCGAGTCGCGCGACCAGCGGCGCAGGTCGGTCAACCAGCGCGGCAGCATCGCCGCCCAACCCGAGGAGGAGGGCGAGGGGAGCGGCTCCGGGCAGCAGAACGGCCACGGCAACGGCGGCTACGGCACCCTCTCCTCCGTCCTCCCCGGCCTCTCCCTGTCCAAGTACGCCAAGGCGAAGCGCGCCCAACGCTCGCAGCTCCCCGAGGGCGTGGTCGAGCCCACCGAGTGGATCAAGAACGCAGGCGAGCTCAAGGTCGAGCCCAAGGTGTGGCTGGCCAACGAGCGCACGTTCCTCAAGTGGCAGCACATATGCATCCTGCAGGGTGCGCTGGCGCTGGCGCTGTACACGGCGGCGGGCGAGAACACGACGGCGGCCGCGTTTGGCGTCGTGTATACGGGCATCGCCATCTTTGCCGGCGTGTGGGGGTACATCATGCTGCGCGTGCGGCGAAACATGATTATCGAGCGCAGCGGCAAGGACTTTGACAACATGGTTGGGCCGATCATCATTAGCGTGGCGCTGATGGTGGCTTTGATCACCAACTTTGTGATCCAGGTGCGTCCTCGAGTATTGAAAACATGATGCCGCCCATGACTAACCGTAGCTCTAGTACCGCAAAGCGTTTGACAAGATGCGTCATGACCATCCTGATACAGGCGTACTCGAATATTCTGCCACCAGCGACGAGCTTCGCTAAATGATGCTTGTCCTGCTGTAAGCTTGTACAGTTTTGTGTGTGGACGTCCACCGAACGAGGAGGAAAAGAGGATGTTAGGTTGACGGGAGTTTTTTGTTACTGTTTGCATCTGTCATATAGTGTATAAAGCACCAGCAAGAATTAGTTAATGTATTCTGTCTCTCAACTTGGCGCGAAGGGGTAGAATTGCTAGCAAGGCCAGCGGCGCTAATCAGATGTGAGGTTGCTTGGGCTGTGTTACATGGCCAGGCAGCGAGCAACCGGAGCCAGGCTGTGAGGGGATGGGGTATGAGGGATGCCTGAACTGATCTTTAGGCGCCGTAGATAATTTTTAAAGAAAAAAAAAACGTATCTTTGGAGGCAAGTTTAGTATTTCTTAAAGCTGGCTCCCGACGGGTTGTGGGACAACCATGGTAACCGTGCTGTGTGTTTCCGTGGAGCGGTAGAGGAACAATGGGAGCAGAGAAGTGCAATGGATTACAGCGCCAGTATGATGCAAAATGGGGGTTTCAAAATCACATTCTTGTGGATTATGTAAAAGGTTAGAAACTTGGGTGATGTAATTAAAAGACAAGGCGGCGTCACATAGCATGACCAAACCGCTGACACGACAGCTTGTAGTTGGCGACTGACGGCCACCGAAAAGGTAGGACCGTCTTTGGCTGTGATGCTTACTGGTACAAGAGAATAGCAGGTATTTGATCCCTCTGATTTCCGCCCTCCATCGCTTCCTTTCTCCTCTCTCTCAACATATCCTCCAGTACATATACTAAATAGTTAGTGCATGCATATGCAGCTTACAAACGGCCAACCGACGCACAGTGGGCCAAATCAACCTGCGCGTTCCCAACGGGCCCTTCAGTCAGTCAGTCAGTCAGTGGCGGCCTGGCATAATCATCATAAAACAAGATACAGCACAGCACAGCACAGCACAGCACAGCTCCTCACCTTGACTCCTCTCCTCTTCTCTTTTCAACGAAAACGCCGTCCCTCGCCCCCTTGACGCGCGGGACATCTGGCCTTTTGGGGACGGACGGCCCGGGATCGTGAGACGAGCGATCCCTCCCCCCATCCCCCATTTCCCTCCCATCTCCCATCGCGCCGACCCGCCACCACGAGGCGTTTGCGAGCAATCAAACTGCGCTGCGCGCGCCGCGTCATGATACATAGCTCGACGACAAGCCGCATGCGCCATACAGAGGCTGGTCAAGCTCAAATACAGCACTTGGTCGCTGCCAATACTCTGAAGAAAAAGCTGCGATAGGGCTGCGAGATTCCTTGCGCTTCTATACGTGAGCATTCGCATCTGGTTTATATGGTGTTGTGCACGCGACTGCAAGAATGGACGACACGACAAAGCCGAGTGGATTCTGGGGAGGCCTCTTGAAGCGAGGCGGCAATGCAAAGACCAAGGCAAGCTCACATTTACACTTAACCCCGTTCAGGGCAGAAACACGGACGCTAATACCTTTATTACACTTACTAGCCAAAGAGCGAGCCTCGCAGGAGACGAGCCGCTGGAGCACGGCCGCGCCGTCCCCCACCAGAGACGTCCTCCATGGCTGGCCAGCGCCACGATGAAGCGCGCCCACGCAGAAGGCGCGTCACCCGCTTCAGCGACGACAACGACAGCGACGCCGACGCGGAGGACCCCGGCTGGCAGACCCCCGAGATACCCCTCACCGAGTGGCCACCTGCCGGCATGTCGCCCGACCAGGAGCTGTCGCGCGAGCAGGCCATCGCGCTCATCGCCCGCGGCGCCCCGTCCCACAAGGGCTACCTACGCGCCGTCCCGCACGTCTCCAGCGACTTTTACGCCCTCTACGCCGCGTCCTCGGGCAACGACCGCGGCGCCGCCCGCGAGCTTGAGGTCGGCGCCGAGCCGGCCACGGACCGCGCAAACCTCCACGACGCCATGGTGCAGCTCATGACGCTGCGCATGGCCGGACCCGGCGAGATCAACGCTCCCTGGAGCACCCTCGAGCAGCCTAGCTGCGCCTTTCGTTTCGGAGCCCGGCCCGGTACCATCACGCTCAACCACTGGGCCTCCATGGCCAGCGCGCTCCCGGAGAGCATCGGGCTACGCGACTCGGGTGTCGTCCCGCGGCCCCTCACGCTCGAGGAGGTGTTTGGGCGGCTGCGCGAGCTGCACGCTGACGGGCTCGAGGACCTGGACGAGGGGGCCCTGTCTCGCGCGCTGTACAAGAAGGTCCTGCGCGACCCCATACTGAGCCCGCGGAAGACCCTGGAGAAGCAGATCACGGACCTCATCATGGTGCTGTCGCGGCCGGAGTGGATCGACTTTACGAACCCAAAGAACCAGGTCGTCACGCGCTTCATCTTCAACCCCTACCCCGAGGACCACGACCGGTACCTCGCCTTCTTCCACCAGCTGCTGCTCAGCGTGGAGCTCCACGTGCGCATACACAACAGGCAGCACAGCGACTACGCAAAGGGTAAACTTGTGCAGCAGATCCCTCCCACCATACAATGGAACCTGGCGCTGGCGTGGCGCTGGAGCCACTACGTCCGTGTCAAGAGCTACGGGCCGAGCGTAGACGACATCCAACTACGCTTCAGGCTGCGCAAGCGGCAGGTCCACATGCTCCAGAAGTTCGTCATGACACTCAAGTGGCCGAACCTGCGCGCGACGCTCGAGGCGCTGCGGGAATCGGAGGACGAATTGGCGCGCGACCCCGTCAGCTCCGACGCGTACGCCTTCTTCAGCGGGCTGGTGCTGCCCGGGCCGACCTTTCCCTTCCTCATCATGAACGCGCTCGTCGACACGGACCCGGACGACGCGACCGACGAGCTGGCGCTGCTGTCGCACGTGCATCCCAGCTGCGGCTTCCAGTACCGCGGGAGCAATACGTACTGGACGGCCACGTGCATCGTCGGGCGCGTGCTGGCGCCCACGTGCCGCGAGCTGGCCGGCTGGGTCGGTCCGGCGTGCCCAACCGCGGACCTTGGGCGGTCCCAGATCGCGCGGATCCGCGCGCGCCGGCCGCCGCGCGGCCCCCCGCTACGGCGCGAGGACGTGCAGAGCATGGGCGAACGGTCGGACCCGCTGGGCCCGCCGGCCAAGGTGTACCCGGTCGACGAGTACGAGCTGGTGATGCCGGGGTCGAGTGGTCTCAGCCAGGCGGACACGGCGCGCGTGGAGCTGCTGTCGCTGCGAGAGGTGCCGCCGGTGGACCCGCCGCCACCGCCGGGACCGGGACCGGTGGGGCCGAAGGTGTTTGACGCGACGGTGCAGGTTGCGGTGGACGGCGTGTCGTGGCCGCTGCGGCTGACGTACGACGTGTGGTTCATCAACGCGTGGCCGTGCTCCGAGGCGCCGCACCCACTGTTCTTCGACTACGCCTACCAGCGCGTCTGCGCGGACGAGGTGCTAGGCGTGCGGGACTGGGGCCGCGCGCACGCTGACGGCAGAGGCAGCAGCGCGCGGTCGACGCCGATGCCCACGCTACAGGGCGAGGACGGCGGCATCCAGCAGCGGGACGAGGAGGAGGTGCTGGTGGTGGAGGCGTTTGGTGTGCCGGACCACGAGGTGCTGGTGAGGGCGTGGTGCGCGCACTGGGGGTTGAGTGCGGTGGTGGCCGACGTGAGCAAGACCTGGTGAGTTACGAACCCCTTCCCTTTCGTGAACTATGACTGACTGATGTAGTATGGCTTGTGCAATTCGCGAGTGCTACGCGGCTGCGTTGACGGTGCTGATCTTGGTGGACGACGCGAGCAACGCTGGCCGCAAGGACGACTGATGACGTGAACGAGGACGAGATGACGCGGAAATTGAATGCGACTGCTTTAATGGATGAGATGTGTAACGGGTTCGATGGGTACATGGAGTTTTCGCAGGATTTTGGACTCGAGGGAAGCATTTATACGGCGTTTTATTTTGTTGGTGTCTTTCTTTGCAGCGTCGTTGGCTTTAACAGACTACTTGACGCGCATTGCGGCAAGTCGCTCGTCATCTTTCGTATTCCTCGTGAGCTGCGGAATGCATGCTAGCACTGATAGGCGAGCACAACAGCATGACACCTCAAAGGGGGTGCTGGTGGGTGAAGGACGAGGTGGCGTGAAGGGTTGCTTCGATCAGGGAGAGGTTGTAATCAAGCGTCTCATACGCACATTCCGAGGTGTCAGGAGCGAAGCAAGAGACTCATAAGCCGCGGAATTTCGTCGGTCAGCATGCAAAGCAGGGTGCGCGCGGGGGCTGTGTATATGGCAGCGCTGACCAGTGTGTAAGTGGCATGACTCTTCGAACGACTGCTTGACCAAACAGCTAGATACAGCATTTCGACCATCGCGATGACTGGAGAATGGTCAAGCATGGCAGATATCACTCAGTACCGAAAATTGCATGTCAGAGATTGTGGTCAAGAACACACAGCCTTGACCTGTGGTGTTGACCAGGTTGCAGCGCGCTGACTCATTGCCGACCAGCGAGCCTGATTGTCAAGACAGCAGCATATTGAACATCGTTGAATCATTTCATTTAAATATCTCACTCTGTGTTGTTTCAGCAATTACATTACTTTTGCCCGTGGGCTGCTTCTGCGGCCTGAAACTCGCCGCCAAGCCGGGCGATGCCGCGCAAACAAGGCACGGCTGCCAGCCAACGAAACAGACCCCCAGACGGAATCACGATTCCATCACCCCCCTTTCCATTCACAAAGGCACGGAGTCGCGGAACATGCTACCAAAGCTGGGGAAAACAGTTAGCCATTGTCGCGACATCAATCATCTTCTTGACTCACGCAGCAGGGTACCGGTCGCCCGGCAGCTCCGTCGCCTCGGCGTACTTCCTCAGCTCCGCCACCTCCTCCTCACTCAGCTGCACCTCCAGCGCCTTGACATTCTCTTCCAGGTACCTCACCTTGGACGTCCCCGGGATCGAGATGACGTCCTCGCCCTGCGCCGCCACCCACGCCAGGCACACCTGCGCCGGCGTCGCCCCGTGCCTCGCCCCGATCTCCTCGATCCTGCCCACCAGCGCGGTGATCCTGGGGAAGTTGTCCGCGCTGAACTTGGGCACCGCGGCGCGGAAGTCGCCGGCGGAGAGGAGGTCCGCGTGGGACTTGACGGCGCCGGTGAGCAGGCCCCGCGCGACGGGGCTGTAGGCGACGACGGCGATGCCGAGCTCCCGGCAGGTGGACAGGATGGAGGTCCGGGGCGACTCGATGTCGAGGAAGAGCGGGCTGTACTCGACCTGGTAGGCGGTGATGGGGTGCACGGCGTGGGCGCGGCGGATGGTCGCCGCGGAGCACTCGGACAATCCTAGGTATCGAATCTTGCCCTCCCTGTTCCATCGTCAGCAACTTCAACCTCCTCCCTCACTGCCCTCGCATCCCGGAATTTCCACTCACGCTTTGAGCTCCGCCATGGCCTTGATCGTGTGTTCTATCGGCGTCTTCTCGTCCACCCTGTGGACGTAGTACAAATCAATCACGTCCACCCCCAGCGTCTCTAGGCTCTTCTCGCACGCCTTCTTCACGTACTCCGGGCTCGTGTCCACCACCCGCTCCCCCTCGGCCGTGTGCCGCAGCGCAAACTTGGTCGCCAGGAAGACGTCCCCGCGCTTCTCCGGGTTCTGCCGGAACCAGCCGCCGACGAGCGCCTCGCTGCCGGCGTACACGTCGGCCGTGTCCCAGAAGCGCTCCCCCAGGGCGTGCGCGCGGTCGAGCAGCGCGTGCGCGGCGGCGGCGGAGGTGGCGCCCTGGGCGTACCACCCGGAAAAGGACATGAGGCCGAGGCCGATGGAGGTGACGGGCGGGCCGTCGCGGCCGAGCTGGCGTGTGGGCAGGGACATCTTTATCTGGTGGGGAATGGGAGTTGCAGTTCGTGTATGTTGGTTGGGACGATGTCGGTTGGCCGAGAGAGAAGCGCAGGTTTGGGCCAAGGCGGGCAACCAACCTTCGCTTTATATACTACCATTGCACGCACGCATGCATGGCCATTCACGATTACTTGAACAGAGCGGGGAAACGGAGGCGTCTTTGCTACCCCTCCGCCCCGTCTGCTCGCCTAATGTCATGAACTCTGGACTTTGGCATCATGGCGGATTCTTAAATCCGAGAGGGCAACTCTGTCGTTCCGCCGTCGTCCATGGCGATCTCCCCCACGCTTCCCACGGCGTGCCACCAATGCTGGATCCAACTCCCCGCGGAGGAGAGGGAATCTTGTCTTTCTGTGGATGAATCGAGGGTCTGGGGTGTTGAGCCTCCCCGGCTTATGAATCACCATTCGGGATGGAGATGGTGTTAACCCCGATTGCATCGCCGAGGGCGGACTTTCACTTGACACTGCAACGGACATTTTGACTTGTGCAAAAGCCGCCAAGTCTTTGCACTGTAATATCTTCGGGGATAAGTACACTATTTCCATCCGTTAGTTTACAAAGATATTTTCCAGACTATCAAATGCATCAAGGAACGGCTGTTTTATTCTCCAGAGGAAGCAGCGCTACTTGCGGCGGGTGATGATACCCTAGAGCTTCAATTAGCAACACCACGAATTGATCTCGGGGTATGGCACATTCCCTCTTCTTCTCTTTTTAAAGAGAAATTCCCCGATTTCCAGATTCTATTTACTTTTGCAAGCAAAAGTCAAACAAGCAGAGCTGAACGCCTGGCTTTTCGCGACTGCGCCACGACCAAGCCAACGTGGTGGCGCCGCGAATGCTTTCCCGCTGACTTTAACAAACTGAGGGCAAACGTAAACGCACTTGAGCACAATGAGCATAGGTGACCCTGACAGATCTTGTGCTGCAATCTAATCGAGAGCGCTACTTGGGTTATATCGCTGATCAGAGAATGACGAACTGTTAGCTCAGCTTGGAGGCTAATGGCGTGAGACCAGGCCATGTACCCAGGCGGCTATATCCGTATCAATGCGAACAGCCAGCTCTTGCATCTGCACTTTCTGCATATTGAGATGACTCTTGGTAACACTTGAACTCTTGACAGCAAGAGCTGTTTGCCAAGCTGGAATCCATCTTTCCTTAGGCTATCAACATTTGACTTGCTAGATGTAGCTGGGAATATAAGAGGCTACTTGTTATAGCCTATAGTGAATTTGCATGGCAACATTTGATGGATAAAAAGAACGCTTTGACTCGCACGGACAGCCACACACTACCTACAGTCGCCACTAATTGCTCTATTGGGTAATTTGCTTTGCTTCATGTAATTGTTCGAATGAAGAAAAGATGATGGATTATCAAGATATTTAAATACATGTGTATAGATATATAAGACGTGCAGCTTTACACAATGTTGCCCTTGCTGTGTCTACTGCAAAGACGGACAGAGCTCTATTGTCTTGGCCTGAACTCTTTTTTAGAACCATCATGATCTCTACAGTCTTCACTATTCTGAGTGCTTGGCCTCTACTCACCAGCGGACTGGTCACGTCTTTGACCGAGCGACAATCATCACCGTGTTCCGGCAACACGCCCACAAACCGGTCGTCATGGTGTGATTACTCAATCGACACGGATTACACCCGCGTGGTTCCCAACACTGGTGTCACCCGCGAGTACTGGCTTGACATTGTCGACATCGTCGCCTCACCAGATGGAGTGCCAAGGCCAGCAATGGGTAGGTCCTCTCCGAGCAACTGTCTCGTACCTTTTCATTAACCCTCTTACCAGCTGCGAACGGTACCATTCCCGGCCCGACTCTCTTTGCGGATTGGGGAGATACCGTCGTCGTCCATGTCCGAAACTCGATGCACACCTCCAAGAACGGCACCAGCATACACTTCCACGGCATCCGCCAACTCTTCAACAACCAAAACGACGGCGTCGTCTCCATGACGCAATGTCCCACGCCCGTCAACCACACCGTCACATATACCTGGAGAGCCATGCAATACGGCTCTACCTGGTACCATTCGCACTTTGGCCTGCAGGCGTGGGAGGGCGTCTTTGGCGGCATCGTCATCAACGGGCCAGCCACCGCAAACTACGACGTCGACCTCGGTCCTCTCTTCCTCACCGACTGGGACCATGCCACCGCCTACGAGCGCTCGACCGTCCACAAGTCCTACTTCCTGCCGCCGCTGCTCCAGACCGGCCTCATCAACGGCACCAACACCTACGGCAGCACCGGCCAGCGACTGAACATCCGCTTCGAGGCGGGCAAGACGTACCGCCTGCGGTTGGTGAATGCCGCACTCATCTCCCACTTCAAGTTCATGATCGACAACCACGACATGACCGTCGTCGCGCACGACCTGGTCCCCGTGACGCCGTACACGGTCAAGGTCCTGGACATCACCATGGGCCAGCGGTACGACATCCTGGTCACCGCCAACCAGGCCGCCGCAGCACGGCAGTTCTGGATGCGCTCCGTGCCCCTCGGCCTCTGTGGCGACCCGAATTGGAGACCCAACGACATCCGCGCCGTCGTCCACTACGACGAGACCTGGAAGGACCCGTCCACGCTGGGGTACCCGTACTCCCAGACCTGCGGCGACCTGACCGATAGCGGAAGGCCGCACGTCAAGGAGGACGTGCAGAAGCCGGACGTGCAGGTCTCGGAGACGACGAGTTTCGACAAGGAGGGGGACGGGTACTGGTACTGGACCCTTCGGGGGGCACCGTTGCTGATCGAGTGGCAGGACCCGACCCTCAGCAAGCTCCTCCGCCACGACACCAACTTTCAAAAAAACGACTCCGTGATTGAGCTCCCGCAAGCCAACAAAACCTTTAACCTCGTCATCCAGAACCCGCTGTTCGTCGCGCACCCGATCCACCTGCACGGGCACGACTTCTTCGTCCTCGGGCAGGGCGTCGGGCCGTTCCTCCCCGGCGCCTCCCGGCTGACCACCGCCAACCCGCCCCGGCGCGACACGGCGCTGCTGCCGGGCTCGGGTTACCTGGTGCTCGGCTTCGTGACGGACAACCCGGGCGTGTGGCTGATGCACTGCCACATCGGGTACCACGTGGAGATGGGCTTCGCGCTGCAGTTCGTGGAGCGGGCGGCGGAGATTCCGGGCATCGTGGACGGGGATGCGTTGGAGGAGGGCTGTGCGGCCTGGACGCAGTTCCAGCGGGAGAATGGCATCGTGCAGGATGATTCGGGGGTCTGAGAGCTCAGCTGCTAGGGTTGGAAGGGCGTCCGGGTGGGTTAGGTGAGAAACTTGAAACTTTAAAGCAGTTCATTTATGAAGTTGTGACTTGTCACTGGCGACGGTTAAATGCACAGCGCCATGGCCTCGTGCGTGCTCTGCATACGGCAATAAGCTGAAGTGGAGGCACGATGGTAAAAATAAAGTCGGAGAAAAATAAAATGATACCTAACTAATGCTCGCTAGCTATCACTAAAAGCTACCCAATAATCTACTGATTTATAGCTTGTCTAGAGGGGAGTAGGTGTGATGTTTTATAGAGTAAAAGGGAGTCACTAGATCCTCAAGTTTACGCTGACTCCTCACCGTGATGCGTCAAACGCGAGCGCAGCACCAGAGGCAGATAGGACATTGAATAACTGAGACTACCTAAGTAGGATTTAAGTGTCAAGGCAGGGTCGTATAGGCTTCTCGGAAACTTTACCTAATAAATCGCACTCTTCACTTTTGTTCAGGGCACGATGGCTGCAAAGGAAACAAAGAAAATACCCCGCTCGCCACAACTACAACTTCACACAAAACAAACGGCTGCAACGATTCAAGACAAAATGGCCGATTTCCGACCCGGGCTCACCTCTTCCGATTTCAAATCTCTCGAGGCCGCCCTCCATGACTTTGACCGATATCTTACTCTACGAACCTTTGTCGACGGCTATGACTTGTCCCGCCGCGGACCAGACCCTATGGGCTACTCTTTGGTCCAACAAAGTCGCTCGCGGCCTGATTCGAGAGTCTTCGTTCCCCAACGTGTCTCGATGGTTTACCCATCTAGAAGGAACCTTTCCCGAGATCCAGCAAGAGAATCAAATCCTGCCCAAGCCCACCAAAGCCTCGGCCACTAAATCCGGCTCTCGGTACAACATGAAGCTGCAGGATGCAGAGCATGGAGTCGTCACAAGCGGAGTCTTCGTGAGTCTACGCGATGCAAGAGCATCTAACAAGCACTGCTAACTTGCACACTGTTTCAATAGTGGATATCTACCCATCGGCCATGCGAAAGCAGCGTTTTGAACGATTACTTTGCACATGATGCCCTTTCCGGCTCGCTGATCTTGCGCTTCGACGACACCAACCCCAAAAAAGAGAAAAAAGAGTACGAAGAGTCCATCGTTGAGGATCTTGTCGCTCTGGGAATCTCACCTCAGAGGACCACATACACTAGCGACTACTTTTAGGAGCTTTACGAGTTGTGTCGGCACCTGATTTCTTCTGGCAACCTGGGCCAGCGCTCTCGCTTGCCTTACCAGCGCAGAGACAGACTGGTGAGCGAGAGCCTGGCCATCTTTGAAGAGATGAAGGCCGGAAGCGACTTCGGCAAGAAGCACCGCATCCGGGCACGTATCGCCCACGATAACAGCAACGGTTCCCTTCGTGACCCCATCATATACCGGTTCCCCAGCTGGAAGGCTGACAAGACACCCCAGCCACACCATCGGACAGGCTGGGACTGGCAGATCTATCCCACCTACGACTTTGCCTGCCCTTGGTTGACTCCATCGAGGGTGTCACTCATGCTCTAAGGACGACGGAGTATGCCGACCGTAATGATCAATACTACTGGTTCCAGGAAGCGCTGAATATGCGTCGTGTTCACCTTTGGGATTTTGCCAGGATCAGCTTCATCCGAACATTTCTCTCCAAGAGAAAGCTGCTCCAGGTTGTCGACTCTGGCAAGGTGAGCGATGGGACGACCCGCGAATGCCGACCTTTCGAGGCATCCTCCGCCGTGGCCTCACCGTGGACGCCCTGCGCCAATTCATGCTCGAGCAAGGCCCGAGTCGAAATGTCGTCCTCATGGACTGGACAATTTTGTGGGCAATGAACAAGAAATTGATCGACCCGATTGCGCCTAGACACACCGCTGTTATATCGAGCAAGGCGGCGCTGGCCACAATCAACGGCGGTCCCGACGCACCGCGACACGACTCGCGCCCCAAGCATCCCAAGAACCCGGCCATCGGAACCAAGACAGTGACCTTTGCATCCACCATCTACATCGACCAGGCCGACGCCGCATCCTTCCACCTCGACGATGAGATCACCCTCATGGGCTGGGGCAACACCATCGAGCGGCACCTGACCAAATCCTCCGACGGTGCCGTCACCAACCTGCAATGCGAGCTGCACCTCGACGGCTACGTCTCCACGACGGACAAGAAGATGCACTGGCTTGCAGCGCAAGGCGGTGACCTCGGAAAGGCGGAGCTTTGGGAGTTTGATCATCTTTTACTCAAAGACAAGCTTGAGGAAGACAGACGTGCTAGGGCTAGAGAAGTATCTCAATCCGACCACCGCCAGGATGGAGCAGGCCCATGGTGGACGTGGATTGCAAGAAGCTGGTGGAGGGATCGATCATTCAACTGGAGAGGAAGGGATACTATCGCGTGGATAAAGGGACCGGCTGTGGACCAGAGGGTCGAATGGTTCTATTCAAAATCCCGACTGGTGGGAAGGCCTAGCTCGTTACAGGGACAATGTTTAGAGTCAAGGGAATATGGCGTCCAGGTGTAGGTAGTCCTCTGAGTTTGGGCCACCTGCATGGCATCTCGCTACAACACAGCCAGCCATGCATCCACAGTGCTCGGCTCGGCCGCCATACAGGCCAGAGCACAGGCCTTCTGTCCGCAGCCTTGTCTGCACTGTGTTAGAGGAGCGTACGCAACAGGAACAAGAGTCTGCATCGCGATCAAAAATGATAGACTCGACAGCCCTCGAATAATGAGACGACATCTGCCAAAAAATAAAAAACATACAACAGCCGGTGTTCGCTGGTCGTCACCGACCCAACTACTAATCTGCCGATTAATAGCTTGTCTATGGGGGAGCAGACGGGACCCCGAATTCTCTGTTATCTATGGTCGTATGTACCAGACCAACAGCAGTTCTAACTTATATTGTTCACATCCCCACCCAACAGCACTCACGCATTTGCAGTACACTACTACATGAATTCCAATAGCAAACAAAGTTGTTTTAGTACAAAAAGAACCTGTCACATGTTTAAACAAAGGCAAACGGGACTAAATTATCACAGTTTCTTTTCTTCGTTCAAAAATTCGCCGAGTGATTCGCCATGTTCCAACTCGGTCCCTGGAGCGCTGCGACACTGAACTCCAAAGTAAAGGCACTTTTTCTTCGCTGAAGATCTTGTATGCCAACGATACATATAGAATCAGTGCATGAGCAGCCTCCGATCACTCTTGCCTGTTAAACCTTGCCGTGCAGCCTGGAAGGGAGACACTGCGCTGCCATGAAGCAGTCAAATCTCATAAACTGCGCTGTTGCCACCAAGCGACATGCACCCACACGCACACGCAAACGCAGACGAAAGCAAGAAAAAAAAACAAAAGCAAAACAATCGATTTTAGTAACGACTAATTTTATAAGTACAGGCGTTTGTATTTCATTGTCATTTGGAAAGGGTGGCAGTTATCTTCCCCGTCTTTCTTATCCTCTCTGTCTTTCCTATGTGTCTTATTTTTCTTGTCCTTTTATCTCTCTTATTTTTCTTATCCTTTATGCCTTCTATGTTTTTCATGTTTTTCTTATCCTTCTTGTCTGTCTTATATGTTTTATCTGTCTCAGCCTTACTCTTATAGTCGTCTTCGCCGTCAGAATCCCACAAGTCTGTGAAGGCTTCTGGCCGATAGATGGGACCGTCAACGTCACTGGCCGGCCCGAGAAAGTTTCACCCTGGCCCCCCGGCCAGACACAAAAGACGTGAGGCGGGCCAACGAAGCTCTAGCATCCGCAACATATACTCTGCCTGCCATCTTTCAGGAAACCTAACTCGGCAGACGTGTCCATCTTCCATTCGCTGCAAGTCATTCGGGGGTTGTCTGCCCGGGACATGCACCGTTTCAAAGAGGCGCCCCTGGTTGATGCTAAATATTTCCGAGTCAGAAGGCATCTGAAGGCAGTCGGCCTCTGAGAGCTGCGGTGGAACGGGAGAGTCAGGATACACGGCATTGTCCAGCAACCAGTGGAAGGTAACAGTGGCAAAATAGGCAACTTTGCCGGAATTGCGTCGCTCAGCATCAACATAGCGGGGTCTGAAGCCAACAAGGCCATAATTATCCCACATTCGGTGTAAATACGGAGTCAGGGTAATGACGTTCCAGGAAACGTCCGACCTGCCAAGAGAGCCCACGATCTGTTTGACTTCCTGTGTAAACGACGCCCCTAATAGTCGCTCCGCAATGTCAAGGGCGGGAGGCTTCGTAGCCGATGCCGGCCTGGGTTGAGGTGAGGGAGAGTGGCACTATATGGACCCGATCGCAGGCCAGTGCTCTGTGTGTCACGACGCACTCCTCACAGTCGCGCTTCTCAACATCCTATATTATCATCAGCCTCATTATCTTGGGTCGATGCTTTTGTCTTGGAAAGCCTAATGCCTGACAGGAAAAAGGGCTTTCAAGGCGGCTGTTCATGACTTACGAGTCCAAGTTTGCGTCTCGCATGTGTGTCAGCCAGGTATACAGGCCAAGAGCACGCCGCCGCACTGGCAGGAAGCTTGTACGTGGAAGGGATGCGTCCTGAGGTAACTAATCAAGGCGTGAGTCAAACTTTCCTTTTTGTAGCTTGCAGGTGCAACTCAAGATCGCACGTGAGACAGGGCTGAATAGTACGTACAAAGAGTGCCAAAGAGCTCGGCGGCGTCACCGTACTCGCGAGCTGCTTCAGGATCTCCAAATCCTCTTTTGAGGAAATAGAATAATGCCAGATGCCAACGTGTGAATCTCCAATCTTTGACATCATACAGAGTTCTGATCTGTTGAACAGCAGGAGTCTTCTCATCTAAGGTCATATAGTGAGGAATGGCAAGCTCCTCGACGTACGCGGCCTTCGAGTACGGCCTGTCAGCAACCACGGATGAGCTACCTTCTCCCTCAGACATGATTTCTGTGGGAAGTCGAGATGCAAATAATATGGACCTTTGTCTGGGTTTGCTGCAGCTGTTCAACTTGAGTTGAACTTGTGTGGGTGAAGATCAAGCGAAGTTTTTGGGCAACACCTCAGATGATGTGCAGCCACTGAACTTGCACCTCGCATTTTAAGTTTTGCATTCAGCTTTCTTTTGATTCTTGTTTTGTTTAAAGCAGCGGTCTTAAATTTTCGGCAGCAGTTCTGTGCCAGATTCTAAGTTTGGTGAATGCATTGCCCTGAAACTAAGGTTACGCGCCGCCTGCATCACGAAGCACCCAACGACGCGTGGGGGGGGGATCTTGAGTAGTTGGGAAAGTCGAGTTTCTGACAAAAGTTATTCCTGTACCTTGCGTATTAGTGCATGGGATTGAAAACAGGTAAACCCCCTTCAAAGGCTGCCAAACATACCTGTACGCACGGTTGAAGCTACCCGGCCAGCCCATTGCTAAGAGGTGATACGGATCTAAAGTCTTCAAGTGTGTTCACTGTCATCCATATTGATTTGTTCAAATGATCGGTATGGGACTCGAACCCATCTTCACGAATGAAGCCGCCTGGCCGACCTGGGGTGGCCTCATAACTTTGGCTGGATGGCCGTAACCTGGGCGGATACCTGTAACATGAGTGGGTTCTCGTAACATGAGCGGATGCTCATCACATGGCCGGATGCCCGTAACATGAGCGGATGCTCGTAACATGAGCGAATGCTTGTAACAGAAATGGGCTCATAACTTTGGCCGGATGGCCGTAACAAGAAACGAGATGGGGTTGCCCCCAGTCATCTTACCATATCATCCCCTCATATCTCTCCCACTCACCATTTAAAGAATTTCGTCCTCACTCCACGGCCACGAGTTCTCGTCGACAGTGGTAGAGGCGACGGGAGGCGCAGCAGCAGCGGCGGCGGCGGCAGCAGGAACACCGGCAGCGGCAAAGCCAGCACCAGAGCCTGAAGGGCGTCGATCAGGAGGAGGAGGAGGAGGAGGAGGCGGAGGAGGCGGAGGAGGAGCAGAGCCGGCGGCAGTGTTACCCACTGCCAGGTTGCGTGTCCACGTCGACTTTGGATTTTGGTCAGTGATGTGCTTGGGGCGATCTAGTCAGGGACTCAACTCACGCGTCTCCTTGGAGCAGTGTCGACCACGACGATCTGACGACCACGCAACGTCCAGGCACGGAGCCTCGTCTGAGCGCGGAGAAACGGCTCACGATGGTCGAGGCCGACCTCGACCCTGCCACGGTGCAGGCGCTGGTAGGTGCGGGGATCGGCAGCCTGCCAGAAGAAGTGCATGACCGGGGCTCGCAGATCACCGGGCTCGGTCAGTCTCTCACGGCAGGCTTGCTTAAAGTCTGTGTATGGGATCCTAAAGTTTATGTTTTTGATCACCAGCAGCCGGTTCTTTCGACGGAAGTGGGCCGTGTCCTGCTCAAGCTAGGCGTCAGAGACGAAGTGTGTCGACATTTTTCTTGAGCGTATAGTGTTTGTTAGTCTAAGAGGGCTGACAAGTAAGAAGAATAACATACCTCGTTATTTGGTAGTGGTGGTGGTTGTTGTTGTTTGCTGTTGTTGTTGCTGTTGTTGCAGTTTGTGGCAGTTGATGTTGTTGATGATTTCTTAATGTTGGTAGTGATTACTTTGGCCTCGAAAAAGGTGATCACGTGTTCGCCTGCATAGGGCTTTTGGGGTTACTTCAGGTTTTATCCATGTTCACATATTGCCCTCGAAGCTGTTTGCCTGCCGGCGCCCCAATGAGGCTATTGGAAGAGGAACACGTCAGAGGCCACTAGCACGTTGCAGTCACTCACTCACCTCACAATCAAGAAAGATCAGCTCAGATGCTCGCAACGGTTTCCTAATTCGTTATAGTCCTATTCACATTCGCTATTATTACGCGCGAGGTAAAGAAGAAGTGAAAAACCCGCAAAATTGAAGAAAGTGTCACCAAATCCTGACTGATTCTCCCCAGCAGTTGTCTATTTCGGAGAGATTCCTGTGGAGACAACGGGTACCTGCGTTGCAGGCCAAGTTTGATGGGGCTCGGAGGTACAGATCGTCAACAAGATGGAACCTTACCCGATTGGACGCCATTTTCCACTGTCTTACCAGCAATTGCCCACTTGGGAAACAGCTTATTCATGACACCAATAACGGTAATTGTATTCACTACTATGCAGGATTGCACAAACCATCTACAGCGCACATACAAGGTCGACATACGCTACATTAAGCCGGGCGGAGAGTCGAACGACTACGTGCGGCTTGCGGCCAACACGGTCCATTACATCCACAAGAACGAAGGTCCCGGTGATATTCTCGTCTTCGCAACAGGCCAGGCAGACATTACAGAAATCGCTGATCTTGTTCGCCGCTTTGTTCCCGGCGTTGACGTCCATATCCTTACGGCATCTCTACTCCAGGAGGACCAAGAACGAACTCTCAATTTATCAGGTCCCAATCGGAAGTGCATCGTCTCCACGAATGTGGCAGAGAGAAGGTCGAGAGTCAAGAATATCGTCTATGTCATTGACATTGGGATGTCAAAGCAGGCAGTCTACAATCCTCGACTGCGTTTGAATATGCTCTGGACGCGTCCAATCTCGCGCGCTTCTGCGATACAGCGTGTAGCAAGAGCAGGCGGGACCGCCAACGGTGTTTGCTTTCGGCTGTACACAAAGAAGACCTTCGATCAAATGGAATAGATGAAGGGTAAGAAAAAAAAGGTATATAAAAGATCAGTAGAAAAGAAAAAAGATAAATTAAAAAGAAAAAAAAACAATAAGAGAAATAAGAGAAATAAGAAATAAGAGAAATAAGAAATAAGAGAAATAAGAGAAATAAGAAAAATAAGAAACATAAGAAACATAAGAAACATAAGAAAAATAAGAAAAATAAGAAAAATAAGAAAAATAAGAAAAATAAGAAAAATAAGAAGAAAGAAGAAAGAATAAGAGAACTAAGAGAATTAAGAGAATTAAAAATAATATAAGAACAATAAGAAGGATAAGCAAGACAGGAATCCAGCGCGAGACCCGACTTTTAGAGGCGGCCTCCGTAATCCACATACATAAGGGCGTAATCGCCTAATTTTCAGCGAGCTTGGAGGGGGAGGCTGCATGTTTTGCTATTATTTCGGGTGTGATTTTTTTTTTCAACAGCGTTGATAGATGGAGAGCTGATGAATACAAGCACCGATTTATTAACACTTTCCATGTTCACTTGGCCCCGCAGCGTTGCTGGTCAAGTGGTGGGCCTCGTTTGTCCACAACGCCCAAGCTCTCTCCGTCCTGCATCATCCGTCAAACTACCCGCTCCAAACAGCATCTTGTCGGCATCAATTCATAATGTTTGCCACACTACCAGACTTCACCCCGCGAGATGTACGCCCACCATCCCCATCAGCATCCTACCCTCCCCTCCCCCCTCCTCCACGTCCCCGTCTGCTAACGCGTGCCAGTCACACTCGCTATGGTACACCTCGTCGCGTGCGCCCATCCTCGGCGGCCTGCCCGACGGCCCCAGCGCTCTCGACACCGCCCATAACCACCACCACCAGCACCACGGCCCCGGCGCGCCTCACCAGCGGCAGCAGCGCGGCCATCTTCTCCAGCGTACCGCGCTCGCCCGCCTCGCCGCCGACGAGGCCAGCCTGCAGCGCCGCCGCCTGCACGTCCAGAACCACGGCAGCACCTGGCTCAAGCCGCCCGGCCTGCCCAAGACGCTGCATCAGATGCGCGAGGAGCGCCGCGAGCAGGAGGAGCACCACGAGGCCATGCGTCGCGAGCAGGCCCAGCAGGAGCTCGCCGAGGCCGAGGCCGCCGCCGCCGCCGAGGCCGAGGACGTCATGGATGATGTGCAGCTCGACGGCGCGCAGGACCTGGACGACGAGATCCCCGACGCCGACGACGACTTTGCCCTCGGCGGCAACGGCAGCACCAGCGAGGAGGAAGATGAGGACGAGGACGAGGACGAGGACGAGGAGGATGTGAGCGCCGCGGAGGAGGCGCTGCGCGAGGAGCGCCGCAACGACCTCGTGGCGGCACGCATGCGCATGACCGACGACGCCTTTCGCGAGGCGCTCGTCCGCGGCGACCCGGACCCCGACGACGACGACATGTACGGCGGCGGCGGCGGGGCGGAGGAGCAGGACGCGCGCGGCCGTGGCCACCTGCTCGACGAGGAGGACTTTGCTGCGAGCTCCTCCCCCTCCTCCCTGCTCGAAAACGACGACGTGGACCTAGGCATGGACGCCAACCTCGACGACGACATTCCCGACGAGGACGCCTACGAGGCGGGGTACGAGCACACCGACTCCGACGCCGCGCTGTCCAGCGACGACGAGCGGAGCGAGGAAGAAGAAGAGGAGGAGGAAGAGGCTGGGTTCGTGCCGAGGTCGGCCACGCCGCTGAGGGCACCGCAGAGCCCGACGTCAGCGCTGCGCGGCAGCCGCGGCGGCGGACACCGACCCAGGCGCGACACCCCGGCGCGTCGCGGCGGCGGCGGCCTCCGGTCCAGCATGGACCTGAGCGCGTTTCTGTCGCAGGACGAGAGCAGCTTCATGGACAGCAGTCCCGCGGCGGCGGCGCCAGCGCGGCGGAACAACATGCGCGGCTGAGACGACGGATACAAAGTGCATGATTGATACCCCTTGACGACGAATGACGACCAGCCGCGTTAGAGCTACGAGATGAATACAAATGGACGCATCATGTTTTACGTTTGCTCTACCCTGCGTACGGTGTGTGCAATGTGGTGAAATTCTCATTAATGGTAAAAGAATATAGATAAATCCATTAGGGAATATCAAGCCGAGCTCGCTCCCGAATAGTTAGATGCCATCAAAAAAAGACAACGAGCAAGTCCTAAAACGCCGTACAAGAGCATAATGCAAAAGTGTTGTTCTCCCCATGTCCCCTTTCTAGCTTTGTTTCTCAATTCCATCCCCCTCTCCGGCTGCTTTTTTTGGCCCGTCTTCTCGCGCCCCCGTTGCCATCGTCTTGTATGCACAGGTTGGTCTCTTGCTGGGTTCTTGTTGTGTGTCGTGTTCGTCGCGTCTTCCTTCGTCTTTGCTCGCGCCACCTTGGCGCGTCTAGAACAGCCAGACGTACGTAAAGATCATCACCACGGCCAGGAAGAACAGCAGCCACACCTTCCACGGTATGCCCGAGCGCTGCGCCATCACCAGCATCCTGTTCATCGTCCCGCGCAGCCGCACCCTCGTCCGGTCAAACGTGTCGTTCATCTTCTCCGCCAGCGCCGAGGAGTCTCGAATCTCGTCGCCAATCGCTACCGACATCTACATCCCCTCACAGCGTTAGCCTCTCTCTCTGTACTCTTCAGGTTCACGGTAAGCACTCACGTCCTTCAACGTCCGCACCTTGCCCAGGATGCCCGCGACCTGCGCGTCGTTCTGGCTCTCCAGCTCGTTGAGCACCGCGTCGCTGTACTGCCCTTTCTGGTTGGGCGTCGCCGACCTGTACCCCCCCGCGGGACCGCCGCCGCCGGGACCCAGGCTCGAGTTGCCGTACGCGCTGTAGCTGTTGTACGGCGAGGGGCTGCCGCCGTGGCTGCTGCCGCCGTGGTATCCGTAGCCGCCTCCCGCGGGGTTGCCGCCGTTTCGTCTGCTCGCGTCGCTGCCGCCGCCCGAGTAGCCCTCGAAGAGGGCGCTGCGGGAGTCGCGCTGGTGGAGGCCGCCGAACCTGCGATGCCATGCGCTGTTAGCAGTATTCATTTTGCGTCCGTCCGTCCGTCCGTCCATCCTTCTGCGGCGCACGTTCTCGTCGGGTGTGTGTGTCCGCGCGCATGCCCGTGGGCTGGCTGGTCAAACGGGACAGTTCTCAGCAACGACTGGGATCTCGATCGTACCTTTGCGCCATGGTTTCGTCGGAAGAACAGAAAAAAGAAAAGGAAAAAAAGAAAATAGACACAGACGCCTATGGCAGGGCCAAGGAAACTTATTGAGCGGTAGGAAGAGAAAGGAAGAAAAAGGAAGAAAGCAGGTTGAAACAAAAGACGTCAAGTTGGAAATGGGTTCAAAAAATAATCGGCGGCTTGTTGCCAAAGCCTCCCTCCCCTTTAATGGATCCGGTGGCGTCACGGCGAATGATTGTCACTAAAAAGTGCTGGCAGGGCCACGGCATCATCCGCCTAAATACGACGAACAAACAGGTGGCATCTCCGGCTTGCTCGTTACACTTGATTGGCTACACCACAGTGCTAATACCGAAGTCCATAAAGAGCCTTGGACCAACTTGACTCGATTCAGCGGAAGCCATGCATTGTACCATGACTGCATACGTATAGTAGGTCGCTTTAAAAGGTTCACAATTCTAGTAGGCAGTTAATAGGAACAGATGTAGAAATACAGAAGACAAGAAAAGATACAAAAGATATAATCGTAAGAAAGATAAAAAAGAAAAGAAGGAAAAGAAAGATGGAAAAAATAAATACTTTTCTAAAAGAAAATTCAGCGCGGGACACGATTTCTCAAAGCAACATCCGTCTACGGTTGTAATGTTGAATAGCAGCACACACATTGGGTATCATCGGCATCATCCTCAGTCTCTCCACAAACGACCAGCATCAAATCCAAAAATGTAGCCAACTCAGCTCTTATCACCATTTTTCAAACCTCGGCCCTTGCCTTTCTTTCCTTTCCGCGCCTTTCCCTTGCCCTTGTCCTTGCCCTTGATCGGCATCCCATCCTCGTTCCCATCTTCCTCGCACGCCGACGCCGACGGCGGCGGCGGCGGCGGCGGCAGCGCCTCCGCCTCCCACGGCCCAAAGCACCACATCCCCTCCTCGCCCCGCGGCGGCCCCGTCAGCAGCACCTCCAGCGGGTGCCTGCTGCGCCGACGCGCGAAGCAGAAGCTGACCAGGCCGTGCGCGCCCCGGAGTCCCACGCTATACGCTCCGCCGCCGGGGATCGCGTCCAGCACCCGGACCCGCGCGCGCGCCTCCTGGCAGCCGCGGCGGCGGAGGCGCCAGAGGTCGTGCAGCTGCCGGATCGCCTCGGCGTCCAGGACGACGCAGAAGACGTAGCGCATGTCGCCGCCGTGCGGGTTTCCCCGCTGCTGCACGATCCAGTCCTGGAACGTCTTGCGGACGGTATCCGCGTCCGCCTCGTTGAGCTTGTCGCGCTTGCTGAGGAGCTCCGTGCTGTACCGCGCAAACAGCTCGTCCGCGAGCCGCTGCTGCTCGTTGTTCTTCTTATGCTGCTGCTTCCTGGGGCGGCGCGGTGCTAAAGGCGGCCAGTTCTCGTCAAACGCGATTCTATCGAGGACGAAGCCGTCCCGCCTCTGAGGGTACGCCCGCGAGGCTCCCAGGTCCGCACGCACCGCGTCGTTGAGGCATGCGAGGGCGTCGACGAGGTGCTGCTGCGGCGCCTTGTAGTCGGTGCGGACGACGGTGATCCCCCACGTGGCTGGCTCCTTGCCGGTGTTCAGCGAGAGGACGCTCATCAAACGCTGGCTGCTATTATTCGGGTCCATGTCCGTTTCGGGCTGTGCCTGAGTGTGCCACCGTACGGCCTCTGGATAACTAATAAGATTGTTTGGATAGTTAGTCGTCTGTATCGGATGTGATCCGCGTAGGCATTCCCTAATTCCTCGGAAAGTGATGTTTTCGTAAGCGAGCAAGCGCAAAGATGTTCAAGCGACAAGAAAAAAAATCAGCTGGCAAACGGCGCAGATACGCCAGCAAGCTACTACCCAAGGCAGGAAGCCGCCAGTTGTCAGGCTATCCTACCATCTTTTCCAAGGTTCGTCACTGTAGTCTGCAAGGTAGTTTAATTTGCTGGGATTGTTCAAGTACCTGAGCCGTAGCCATCTCAGAACCCTTCCATGATATCATTGAATTTTGGACCTTGACAATATACTTTTTTGGTGTACCGTATGTAATGCAAAAACGATGCCCTCCGATTAAGGTCCACAGCACACCGCCTTCATAAGTCGTCACCATTTCTGCATCATTTCTGCATCATTTTCTTCTTTCCCTGCAAAAGTCCCCCTTTTCTCTTGATTCTACAAACGGACAGGAGCCTCAACATCTTAACCAGACATCTCCGTGTCCTGGACGGGAGGCTCAAAGTCCTCGTCATCCTCGTCGTCCTCGTCGTCGGCCGGGTTCTCGGCGGCGGCCTTGGCGAAGTCAATCTTGGCACCGCGAGTGCGGCGGCCACCCTCGACGATGTTGTCCAGGTCGACCTCGTCGGCGCCATCCTCGATATCATCTGCGGTGGAATCTAGCGTTAGCATCGTATCACGGTCAGCGCGTTATCCCTCGTCGCACAAAGCAATCGGTCGTTTCAATTCGTACCTCCTTCGTTCTATAGCGAGTTGTTAGCATGCGGTCCTAATCATCACACAAACAATGATTGCGCTTACCTCGCCCTCAAAGTCATCATCATCTTCTTCGTCGTCATCGTCCTCGTCATCGTCGTCCTCGTCCATCTGCGCGTCGTCGTGCACGCGTTCGGCAGCCTTGCCTTTGCCTTTCTCCTCGGCGAAGCCGCTAGCGGCCGAGCTGTTGGGGTTGGTGACGCCGTCGGGCATGGTGTTTGAAGGAGCTGGTGTGTATACGGACGGGAAGTAGGTTTTTGTCGTAACGAAGAGATGAGCTGGTTGGTAAATTGGAGTCAAGGGAAGAGTTGGAGGGGAGCAAACGCGAAACTGGACGAATAGGCGTCTAGGACGACGGCTTTTAAGTGCCTGCGCAAAAAGCACTGTTTGACGCATCTCTTTGGTCGCTGCATCTGCGTAGCAACGCCGCTAGGCCTAATTGGGCCAAGAGCTGCTGGAGCTTCCGCTGCACGTGACGCGATTGCTCCCTGCAGTGACTTGATGGAGACTTAAACCAAGTTCTCTGTTTTGAATTATTTGGGTTATTATGACAAGGTTGTAGCACAGCTATTGGCTGGGTGAATTGAGTCTTCCAAGTCGCGGTGGGCAGATTTGTGGTGGTTCGCTTCACATTTGCAGATGGTGGACAGCTGAGTGCCCGACCAAATCACCGCACCAAAAAGCCAATAAAACGGATCAGAATGCTTGAACCAATGCCTTTGTATATTGATGTATTCCCGGTCGCCGTGGCCGTCTATTTTTCCCCTCCACCGCTCATCGCAATGAAAACCACCACCGCAATCACCCACCAGTACCTGCAAAGCCCACGTTAGCACACCGATCCTCGTCCGACGTACAATAAAGCCATCAACATACTTTTGCAGCAGCGTCTTCTCCTGCGGCTCCTCCCTCTTGCCCTCCGGGTTCAGCACCACGGGCTTGTTGAGCGCCGGCTGCCGCCCTCGCGCCTCGGGGAGCAGCACCGCGCGCGGCCCAAAGTCGCGCGTGTGGCCCGCGTCGATGCGCACGCCCTTGAGCGCCACGCTGACCACCTCGCCCGCCGCCGCGTCCGTCGAAAGCAGCAGGTGCGGTGCGAAGCCCCGCGCCAGGTTGTCCGCCGAGGCCACCGTCGTGCCCGAGGCCCAGGTGCCGGACGCGGCGTCGTACGCGCCCACGCGCACCGTCGAGGTGCCGTCGGGCAGGTCGGGCGCCTCGTAGGTGAGCATCGAGGCGCCGGCGGAGGGCGCGGAGACGTCGTAGGAGACCTCGGCGAGGGGGTGAGGCTTGCCGCCGCCGTCCTGCACGGCTTGGATGTAGATGTGGGCGGTGCGCGGCGCGGCCGCGGCCAGCGTGGCCGCGCAGAGTGTCCCGAGGAGCGCGGCGAGGCGCATCGTAGTCTTGGTCGATTCGTTGGCGGTGTGGCCCGTGATGGTCAGTCGGATAGGCTGCTCGATGGGTGTCGGCGTGTGATGAAGTCGAACCCGTAGGTGGTCCTTGACGAGAGGTGGATCGAGTAGTGTGGCTGCGAACCAGGTGGTAGGAACATCTGTGGCGTCCTCGCCATCCAAGTGTGGCTGACACGCAGCACCCAGCGAATATCATAACTAGAGAAGAAATCCAAAAAGACATGCTCCAACTTCATCATTCAAGTGATTTTGGTAGATGTACTGCAATCAAGCATCTCTCATATCGCGAAACAGTTATTTGATTGTACTGCACAGCGCCTTCCATTCGTTCACATTAGACAATCACCAGTTAAGACAGATACCCTGGAGTTAGCAAGTGCAGATTAAATATGACACGATGCTGAGGGTTCATCACGATGAGCAGTAGTTTTTGCCTGCCGATGAGCTACTGATCTCAAATTGGGGGTTTTAACTTCACTTTGTATCCGTCCCCATGTACAACCCCGACAAACTGTCCAGAGAACTTGGTAAGTATCATGCTACACATGGTCGGCATGCAAAAGGCTATCAGCGTCCATACGAACGTTGAACTGTATAGCACCACACAATGGACTCCCCACCACTCCATATTTCTACATGTACATATTGTACCAGATTGTAGCTGCTGTCGCTGTTATCGTTGCCTCGCAGCATGACAAAAACTTGATCATCTGCGAGATATGCCGCCAGGTCGCTCGGCCGGGACAGCTGTTGCTAGCTCAGGATAGACCCCTAACTACGTATTGCAGGCATGCTCAAAGGGAAAGCGGGATGATCAGACGCACCAGTCTCTAAGCTGCTGGTCTGGGAGACATGAACTAAGTCTCGAGCCTCGGCGGCGAGATCTTTAGTCCCAGCCGAGAATTGGTCGGCTCGCATGCGAGGGCTCCCGAGTTCCCGAAGGACGCGCAGCAGTGCCACCTGCGGCTGCTCACGTGCTACGGCGGCGGCAACAGGAGCGTCGGGAGCTGCTCGAGCACCTCCTCACATCGTCAGTAATAAAAGGTCTCAAGGCGACGCGGCCTGACTAGTACGGGGAGTAGATGCGCGAGCTGGAAGACGGGCAGCAGTCGGCGTTTGTCGTCATTTAGAACCCTCGCTTGGATAGTATGACTGGCCGTCTAGAGGAGCCCACGCTGGAGATCGACTGGGAACGGAGCACATGGGGCCAGATAACAGAGGATGTCGGTGAAGATGCCGCACCAGTATGCTCCTTCTTTGCTTCCACATGCGCCGGATACATGGAGCGCGTCAAATTTTACTTCTTATCTCTGCAAGTCTACCAGGCATGGGATGCTTCACGTCGGTCTAGGGATGTGGCTGCACCGTCACTCCTCCGTCAACGAGTGCTAGACACCAACGAGCGAGGGAACGAGACGCTCAAAGCCATGTTCAACATCCAAGGAATGGCAAAGAAAAACATCCGGATACATGGTAGAGGACTAGGCATACGCCAAGACGGCATGGCTGTATGCGTTTCAGCCAACTCAACTCAGAGTGCAACGACAGCACCGACGAAATCCGCATTTTGGTACGTATACAGTACGAATACTGCCACGCCGCGTCGCCGATGCCTGTCAATAATAGCTTCGAGAAGCGCCACTGAAGGACAGCTGAATGCAGCTGCTAGCGTGCATAACAGTTGGCTGTAGGTCAGCTTGCGAGTTGCTGAGCGCCATCAGGAACAAGCTGGCCGGAGCAGCATCTTCCGCTCGGCCCGCAAGAGGTGCTCCTGGCGGGCCAGCGCAATATCGCGCTGGATGGGCGGCCTTGGAGTGTGCTATGGATGATTTTTTCGTGCCATGCTCTGCGGAACGTGTCGGCGGTTGGGTGCCGCTGCCACTGGTGAGGCGCCGTGAGGGCTAGAGATGCATCTCGTATCACCGGCTGCACCTCGCATTCCTGCGGCACCTAGACGACTGGCAATGCGTAGTCGAGGCTGCCGGTGACCGGTTTCACGATCTGGGAGCGAAGCGTGTCAAACGGGGTCAGGCTGGGGGATGCTGACGTCGACGTCGGCCGGGTCAAGAGCGATGCGAGGCCGTTGGCCCTTGAGCGACGACGCGCATGAATGTGCGGGATGAAGCTCCGTGAGAAGTTGAGGCTGACAGCGGCGACGCCGGACGATCTGATGGCAGCCTGTCATAATAACCCTCAGACCTCTCACCTGAGGCGCTGCACATGCAAGCTGGCTCGATTTCGTCGCACTTGACGGTGCCATCACAACGACCAAGCGAACACATGTTAGCAGGAAAAAGTTCTTCTGGTGGTGGAGAAGGCAAGGATGGCCTACCGGTACGTGATACACCCCGTCGTGGCTTGTTGGGGGCCCAAGTCCTCCAGCGCGGTGCATTGGTACCTGCTTCGGCGAGGCTAGACTTGCGCTTGCTGTGATGGCCTCCGCGCGGGCCCGGTTTGCGCGCTGATGCCCCGGCCCCTGCATTCTCCTGATACAAAACTCTATTATCGCTCCTTTTTGGCGCTCGGCGATTGGACCGTCCCTTCGAAGACTCCTCTGCCCGCAATAGCTGTGGAGGCGCTACCAAGCGGTAGTTCATGCGTGCCAACTTTATAGAAGCAAACGGGGCAGCGCAAATCTGGTTATGCATCGAATAATGCAAGAAGGTTCAATATCCGATGTTGATGGCTGTGCGAGAGAGGAAAAAAATTTGCTCGGTGTAATTGGAGGAGGAAGCCGGAGTTGCGAGAAACGAGCCGTTTGGCGTGGCTATCCGTAGTTACTTGGTACCTATGTACCTAACAAGCCTCGGCTAGCTGCGCGCATACTACATAAGATACATACCTATACATAGGTACCTACGTACCTGCCTGGACTGACTAAGACAAAGGGAGAAGGAAGCTGGCAAAGGAAACCGCGGCGCGCGTTTGCTTCTGAGCTTTGGCTGTTGCGGTGTCCAAGCAGAGCTATCACCATCGAAGCCATCACCGTCATTGTCAATGTTTTCATCCGCTTCCCCATCATCCGTATTGATTCTTGGCAGAAACACCGGACTCATGCATCTCGCTGTTTGTTCAATGCGATAGCCCGCCATCGGCCCACCGACGGGCCTCCTCTCCAGCTGCCTTCTGTTTGCTGATTTACACTCCGGTTCATGCACAGCGGCATCATACCGAAAAGTCGATTGGTTCAGTGCGAGAACGGCCCCGTCAGCAAGGAGCAATGCGAGTACGCCAATATCCTTGCGAGCAAGCCGTCTACCCGCCCCCGTCCGCCCAATCACGGAAGCGTCGCGGTGATCGCTGTGTACTCGCGGCCGCACCAAGGAGCCCTCATGGTGCATGGTATCGGACGCATCGCCGTCTCAGCCCGCCAGGGCGCCACGGCCTTGGCAGCTTGAATGTTTCTTCATCGGCAGGATTTATTTTTGGTCCTGCTCTAGGCCCGAATCAGTCAAGAGTCTTCCACACTAGAGTATGATGCCGACCTGGCTATGACCTGCGCTGCTCGGAGGATGCGCGACTTGGCCTGGGGCACGGCCGTGGGCTGCCCGCTCCCAACAAGGAACATCCTGCCCCTTGATTAACCTTTTTTGGCATGGTAATCAGCGGAAAGCTCACTGCAATTTTATCTTCTATATGCGATGTAGAAAAATATGCTCACCACTATCGCAGATCTGCCAAAAGCAGACGCGTCTCCTGGCCGCCAAGTTGTCGTGCCTCTGTATTTCGCTTTCGCTGCTGTCATTACCAGATCATCTCGGGCATCTGATCGACATGGAAAGCTCTGAAAAGTCTCAAAATGGACCTTCCGGAAGCCGGCAACCGCAATACATGGCCGTTCAGCATGCATGCCGGCATCATGATGGAGGCCGGCGAAGAAAGCGGGGTGGAATATTACCAACACAATGCCATTGTCAATGCGCCGGTTAACTTTAACAGTTAGTCTTTCAAGAACAGACAATGTGCCTAGCGCAGACCTGCTCGATATCCATCCTAAAACGAACGCTCGAGCTCATGCTTCAGTCCACTGGTGTAGCGAGATGCCCAGCTCGGGCAACCTCACCGTTTCTCGGATCATGCTTGGACCCGGCCCTGGCTCTGTGGCAAGAGCCTTGGCTATGCCTTTCCTTGGACTTGCCTGCTTTTGGCTCTGCTGCCCTGACTGGAAGCATATAAACCAATTGGTCTTCCGTTCGTCGGAACTTGCACATCAACTTCTGCATTGACGGTTCGAGGCAGAGCACAGCGTCTGCAGCTTTTAGTCGACATTCTTTCTTTCATGTTGAACAGGGCCTACACATACATTCGTTTCTACCTTTCCCGCACTACTAACTGAGATCGTCTACCATGGCTCCCGCCCGCCGCGTTCTCGCGGTTGCGCTTGCGGCCCTGCTCGGCGTCTCTCAGGCGTCTTACACCGAGCAGCCTGCCTGCCCCAAGCCTTTCCCTCCTTTCCAATGCGCCGGTTGCGTTGCTAGCAAGGATGGCAGCAGCCCCTTTGACTTCCGCTCCTCTGCTGATCAGAACTCCATGACTGTTGCCAAGTGTACTGCTGTTTGCAAGGGTACGTGAACGAGACGATCCTCCCATGATAACCACTTGATTTACAAAGAAAAAAGGCAACTCTTACCGTTATGCTGCTCTCACCTACTATGGTGTCTGCTACTGTGGTAACATCGAGGGTGGCCAGCAGGTCCACGTCAACCAATGCAACTACAAGTGCAGTGGCGATTCCTCCGAGTCTTGTGGTGGCCAGAACGCCTTCTCCGTCTGGGAGGATCCCACCTTCAACAAGGGTCCGGATGAGGTTACCACCGCCGACTACCAGGCCCAGGGCTGCTACACCGACAACAGCAGCCACGGCCGCACTCTCGGCCACCCCGCCAACGTTCCCAACCTGACGCCCGACAAGTGTATCTCTACCTGCAAGGACCAAGGCTATGCGTACGCCGGTGTTGAGTACGGTGGCGAGTGTTGGTGCGACTCCAACCTCAACCCGTACGCTAACAAGGCCCCCGAAGCCGAGTGCAACAAGCCCTGCAACGGCGACAGCTCCAAGCTTTGCGGTGGCAGCCAGCGCATTAACGTCTACTTCGCCAAGGACCTCGCCTCGACCGAGCCCTGCACCGTCGGCCCCAACCCGTCCTCCAGCGTCGGCCCTTCGAGCTCCGTGCCCGCTACCAGCACCGGCCCTGCCTCTTCCACCGGCCGGGCTTCTAGCACCGGACCTGCCTCCAGCACTGGTCCTGCTTCTTCCACCGGCCCTGCCTCTTCCACTGGACCTGCCTCGTCCACTGGCCCTGCTTCCAGCACCGGTCCTGCCTCCAGCACCGGTCCCGCCTCCAGCACCGGTCCTGCCTCCAGCACCGGTCCTGCCTCCAGCACCGGTCCTGCCTCCAGCACCGGCCCTGCCTCCAGCACCGGCCCTGCCTCTAGCACTGGCCCGGCTTCTAGCACCGGACCTGCCTCCAGCACTGGTCCTGCTTCTTCCACCGGCCCTGCCTCTTCCACTGGACCTGCCTCGTCCACTGGCCCTGCTACCGGCCCTGCCTCCTCCACCGGACCTGCCTCGTCCACTGGCCCTGCCTCTAGCACCGGCCCTGCCTCCAGCACTGGACCTGCTTCGAGCACCGGCCCTGCCTCGTCCACTGGTCCTGCCAGCTCGACTGGTCCTGCCTCTTCCACTGGCCCGGCCACTTCCACTGGTCCTGCTAGCTCGACTGGTCCTGCCTCGTCCACTGGTCCCGCCAGCTCTACTGGCCCTGCCAGCTCGACCGGCCCAGCCTCGTCCACTGGTCCGGCCAGCTCTACTGGCCCTGCCAGCTCGACCGGCCCTGCCTCCTCTACCGGTCCCGCCAGCTCGACCGGCCCTGCCTCCTCCACCGGACCTGCCTCGTCCACTGGCCCTGCCTCTAGCACCGGCCCTGCCTCCAGCACTGGACCTGCTTCGAGCACCGGCCCTGCCTCGTCCACTGGTCCTGCCAGCTCGACTGGTCCTGCCTCTTCCACTGGCCCGGCCACTTCCACTGGTCCTGCTAGCTCGACTGGTCCTGCCTCGTCCACTGGTCCCGCCAGCTCTACTGGCCCTGCCAGCTCGACCGGCCCAGCCTCGTCCACTGGTCCGGCCAGCTCTACTGGCCCTGCCAGCTCGACCGGCCCTGCCTCCTCTACCGGTCCCGCCAGCTCGACCGGCCCTGCCTCCTCCACCGGACCTGCCTCGTCCACTGGCCCTGCCTCTAGCACCGGCCCTGCCTCCAGCACTGGACCTGCTTCGAGCACCGGCCCTGCCTCGTCCACTGGTCCTGCCAGCTCGACTGGTCCTGCCTCTTCCACTGGCCCGGCCACTTCCACTGGTCCTGCTAGCTCGACTGGTCCTGCCTCGTCCACTGGTCCCGCCAGCTCTACTGGCCCTGCCAGCTCGACCGGCCCAGCCTCGTCCACTGGTCCGGCCAGCTCTACTGGCCCTGCCAGCTCGACCGGCCCTGCCTCCTCTACCGGTCCCGCCAGCTCGACCGGCCCTGCCTCCTCCACCGGACCTGCCTCGTCCACTGGCCCTGCCTCTAGCACCGGCCCTGCCTCCAGCACTGGACCTGCTTCGAGCACCGGCCCTGCCTCGTCCACTGGTCCTGCCAGCTCGACTGGTCCTGCCTCTTCCACTGGCCCGGCCACTTCCACTGGTCCTGCTAGCTCGACTGGTCCTGCCTCGTCCACTGGTCCGGCCAGCTCTACTGGCCCTGCCAGCTCGACCGGCCCTGCCTCCTCTACCGGTCCCGCCAGCTCGACCGGCCCTGCCTCCTCCACCGGACCTGCCTCGTCCACTGGCCCTGCCTCTAGCACCGGCCCTGCCTCCAGCACTGGACCTGCTTCGAGCACCGGCCCTGCCTCGTCCACTGGTCCTGCCAGCTCTACCGGTCCTGCCTCGTCCACTGGTCCGGCCTCTTCCACCGGTCCCGCCAGCTCGACCGGTCCTGCCTCGTCCACTGGCCCTGCCTCGTCCACTGGTCCTGCCAGCTCTACCGGTCCTGCCTCGTCCACTGGTCCGGCCTCTTCCACCGGTCCCGCCAGCTCGACCGGTCCTGCCTCGTCCACTGGCCCTGCCTCGTCCACTGGTCCTGCCAGCTCTACCGGTCCTGCCTCGTCCACTGGTCCGGCCTCTTCCACCGGTCCCGCCAGCTCGACCGGTCCTGCCTCGTCCACTGGCCCTGCCTCGTCCACTGGTCCTGCCAGCTCTACCGGTCCTGCCTCGTCCACTGGTCCGGCCTCTTCCACCGGTCCCGCCAGCTCGACCGGTCCTGCTTCGAGCACCGGCCCTGCCTCGTCCACTGGTCCTGCCAGCTCTACCGGTCCTGCCTCGTCCACTGGTCCGGCCTCTTCCACCGGTCCCGCCAGCTCGACCGGTCCTGCCTCGTCCACTGGCCCTGCCTCGTCCACTGGTCCTGCCAGCTCGACTGGTCCTGCCTCTTCCACTGGCCCGGCCTCTTCCACCGGTCCCGCCAGCTCGACTGGTCCTGCCTCGTCCACTGGCCCGGCTACCTCTACTGGCCCCGCCTCTTCCACTGGTCCTGCCAGCTCGACTGGTCCTGCCTCTTCCACTGGCCCGGCCTCTTCCACTGGTCCCGCCAGCTCGACAGGTCCTGCCTCGTCCACTGGCCCGGCCACCTCTACCGGCCCCGCCTCAAGCACCGGTCCTGCCTCGTCCACCACCCCGGCGCCCAGCACGACTCCCGCCACCACTCCTTGCAATCCTGGATCTGCCAGCTGCACTACCGTTCCTGGTGGCCCTGAAACCTGCCCTCCGGGTACTTCTAACAGCTGCACCCCCACCGCCCCTCCCTCAAGCACCGGTCCTGCTTCTTCCACGACCACTCCCGTCATCCCTCCCTCCAGCACTGGCCCCTCGTCTACTACTTCCGTTACGGTCCCTACCACGACGCCTCGCCCCTCCTCCACTACTCCTCCTACCACGACTACCAAGCCTTCGACATTCACCACCTCCACTCTGTGCCCTGTTGTGATCACGCCCACTCCCTCGGCCTGCGCCAACAAGTGTGGAGACTGGTGCCCCAACCCTGAGCCTGACTGGAACGAGGGTGTCGGCTGTCTTGCCGCCGCTGCTTCTTGCGCTGTCCAGGTTCCCATCTGCTTCCTGCACGCTGGTCTCCAGAACACGGCCGGCTGCTTCGACTACGCTGCTCGCTGCAAGGCCATCAAGCTTTGCTGTCTCAGCTGTGTCAAGGGTGGCTGCAGCAAGAAGACTTGCGGCATTACCAACAAGGAGCCTCCTACGCCCACCACCACCACTCTCCTGCCCTGCACTGGCACTCCTACCCCCACGCCTACCAAATGCCCTCCCAGCCCCGAGAACATTTGCGCCGAGGGCTCCAGCTGGCTCCACAAGTTCGGCCCCGGCAACCCGGTCTGCGGCATCCCCCTGCCTATCGTCTCGTGCAACGACGACTCCAAGACCTTCAACAGCGGCGCCTACAAGCTGTACAACAACTCGAACACCTTCAAGTGCCCCATCTTCCCCAAGCCCGGCGTCAGCAACGCTTGCCAGGCTGCTTGCAAGTACCAGCTCGACCAGTGTCTTGCCGCCAACGATCTCACCTGCCTTTTCGACAAGGCCAGCGGTCTTCTCGGCCGCGGCCTGGAACAGTCTCCCCGGGATACCAAGAGCCACGACAAGCGCACTCTTGGTCTCATCAAGGACCTCATCTGCAAGAAGCAGTACGCGGCCTGTGTCCTGGCCAACAAGAGCGTCGATACCAGCCGATGCAAGAACTACTGCGACAAATAAGCCACGAAAAAAGAAAGGTGGTGAAAGGTTCATAATTAATTTCAAGACGTGAGCCTGTGCGCATCGATTTGTTCTTTTTTAATTAGTTTCGTTTACTTTCCTTAATTCTTTTTATCTATCTCATAAATACACTTTCTTACTTGATCAAAGCTCTTCATAAGGTGATAACACATATTTACAAAAGCTCTTCGTGCGGTGAGTTGCCAGTTCTGAGGCACCAACCAAATAAAGCTACAGCAACGGCAGGCATTCGCAAGCTAACTTCGACTGTCGGCTAGGAGAAATTCGTTCAAAACGTGGCGCAGGTCTTCATCCATATCCAGGGCGGCCAACTGGCCCACCCGGATGGACGCTGGGACGTCCTTTGGGGTAATAATCTCATCAATCTTCTCCTTCAGCTCGAAACTGACCTGAGCATCGTAGAGAATAGGAAAGATCAGAGACTTGAAATCGTTGACAGACAGCTGCGGGTTCGGGCCGAGGAACAGGACGGCGGTGTCGCCCGGGGCGATGCGACCGAGGTCCACCATGGTGCCGTTCTCGACCGCCGTCGCGACGGAAGCCGTTGTGAGGCCGCCGACGGAAGCGGTGATACCTGTGGGATCGCGGACGCCCAGCAGCCGCACCTTCCACCTCCTAGAGTACGCGAGCGCGCCGCTGCGGTTCGGCCCGATGGTGAGCACGCCCGTACGCTGATCCAGCGCCACCGACGTCGTCACCCACCGCGGCTCCTCCGCGTAGCCCTCGAAACTCTCATCCTCCTCCATGATGTCAAACCGCCCGTCCGCGCCCACCGCCACCACAATCTCCAGACCTTGCGGGTTCGCCGCGCCGTTCGCACCGCCATCCTCGTCCGCGTCCAGCGGCACGATGGCGCCCTGCCGCATCAGCAGCGGCGTCTTATCCAGCGTGCGACTCAGCCACATCTCGCGATCTCCATCATACACCACCCCCGTGAAGAAGTCGACCCACGTGCCCGGCGGCAGCCACGCGCGCACTTTCCCCGTCTTGATCGCGCGGTTCTGCGGCGCCGTGATCGGCGCCGCCAGCAGCTGCGTGCCGAAGCAGTACTCGTTAGGCACGCCGTACGCCTCCTCGCGCTCCGGGTGCTCCCAGTACATCGGCTGCACCAGCGGCTCGCCGCTCTCCGCTGCCCTCTTGTTCATTGTGTGCAGATACGGCAGCAAGCGGTGCCGCAGGCGCAGAAACTCGACCACCGTCTCCTGCGGGCCGCCGAGGGGCAAGTTCCACGGCTCCTTGGCGACCCAGCGCGTCTTGGTGGAGTGCAGGCGCATGACGGGGGAGAGCACGCCGAGCTGCGCCCAGCGGGCGGTGAGGTGGTCGTCGCGGGCGCCAAGCATGTGGCCGCCGATGTCGTGGGACCACCACCCGTAGCCGACGTTGCTGGCGGTGGCGGTGAACTCGGGCTGGAAGGCGAGGGAGGCCCAGCTGGTGACGGTGTCGCCGGAGAAGCCGATCGGGTACCGGTGGCTGCCGGCGCCGGCGTACCGGGAGAAGACGAGCGGGCGGGTGCCACGGCGGCGCTGGAGGTCGGCGTTGTGGAGGAAGTGAAAGTGGTTGAGCGGCCAGAGAGGGTCGACGCCGGGCATGCCAGAGTGCGTACCCTGCTGCCAGTCGGTCCACCAGAAGTCGACGCCGTCCTCCTCGACGTGTCTGAGCGCGATGCCGTAGTACGCCTTGACGAATGCGCGGTCCGTAATGTCAAACGGGATCGCGTCCCCATGGGACGTGTCGTGCCCTAAAGCCCTCGCCATCTCCTTGTACACGTCCTCGTACCGCGCCACGCCGTCCGCTGGGTGCTCGTTGAGCGTGATCTTCAGGCCGCGCCGGTGCAGCTCCGCCACGAACTCGCGGGGCTCCGGGAACAGGTTCGTGTCCCAGGAGTACCCCGACCAACCGGAGGCGCCGGCCTCGACGACGCGCGGGTCGCGTACCCAGTGCCAGTCCATGTCCACCACGGCCACGGCCAGCGGCACGCGCGCCGCGGCGAACCGGTCCATCAGCGCAAGGTACGAGTCCGCCGTGTACTCGTAGTACCGCGACCACCAGTTACCGAGCGCCCAGCGGGGGAGCAGCGGCGGCGCGCCGGACACGCGGTATAGCGCTTTGACGGCGTCGCGGTAGTCGTGCCCGTAGCAGAACAGGTACGCGTCCACCCTGTCCTTGCCCTCCTTGCGCGGCGCGATGAAGCCGTCGGCGGTGAAGAGCATGCTGGCGTCGTCGAGGTTGGCGAAGCCCGTGCGGGAGGTGACGCCCGGCTCGAGATGCGTGCGGCCGTCAACGCCATCGAGTGTGCGACAGGTGCCGCCGAGCGTGGCGGGGGCGTCGCCGTAGCGCCAGGTGCTGCCGAGGGGGCCGTGGATGCGTGCGGACAGGGTCTCGGGGGAGAAGCCGGCGGCGGCTTTGCGGTAGGTGAGGTGGAAGCGGGAGGTGTGGATGTCGATGCAGCGGGCGGACTCGACGAGGCGGTGGGAGGGCAAGGCGTCGGATTGGCACTGCCGGCGGTTGGCGGCGAAGGCGGAGGGACGGTCCTCGAAGGAGCCGTCAGGGGCCCATTCGTAGCGGACGAGGCCGTCGGCGAGGACGGTGAAGCGGAACTTGTCGCCTTTGCGGCCGCCGACGAACACGGAGGGGGTGGTGGTGGGTGTGTGCAGGGCCATGGTGCTTGGGCTCATGATTTGGATGAAATCGGAGCAGAAGCTTTCGATGGGAGATGGGATATGAGAAGGATTTATACAAGGCAATGCTGGACCGACAAAGATTCGGCCAGAGCAAGATGGAAAAGGTCACATGAGCATGTCGGAGCCGGGACGTGAAGGAGGTTCCCCGCAATCGGCACGGCAAAATGCGGGGATGCGGGGAAGTTTGGCTGCAAGACAGAACAGCCCGACATTGGCATGTATTGGAAATGGAGGGCTTATTAAGGTTAAGAAAGGCTAGTTAAGTCAAGGAAGAATGTGATGGATTGTGCATGAGGGGAACTTCTTGATCCATTTGGTGTGTCCTGAGGGGCCTGTCTAGTGGCCTGGGCCGCGCCATGTGACAACTGCTGTCGCCATAGGCCTGGTGCCCTCGCCAGGAAGCTATCAGAGAATTCCATGCACAAATTGACGTTGGTCCTGTGACCTGCTTATGTACCGAGGACATTGGTTCTTACGTTTACCATCCTTCCCGTCTCCCCTTGGGTGATGCCAGCTTCGAGCGTTCCCGAGAGAAGCCCGCTGAGGTGACGGCCCGGATCTAGTCGTCGCAAAGTTGGTCCTCATCTACGTCTGACGGGCGCAGGCCGTTTTCCTCCTTCTCGATCACGGCGGCGGCCAGTTCCCGCAGGGCGCTCGCCGTTCATGAGTCGCATCCGCGCTTTGAATAAAGTAAAAAAAGTATTTATAGTTTTTTAAAACTATTCTACTTCTTTTTATTTAGTATACTTTAACTCTTTAATATTATTAATATTATATA